CCCACTCACGCTCCCCCACGCCCCACATGTCCCCTACTCCTCACTGTGCCTCCATTGGCTAAAACCTTTGACTCCCACTTCAAGGGTCTGTGCCACCTGAGTATCTGTACCAGACACCTGAGTGCATCAGTACCAAATACCTAAGAATATCTGCACCACATCTGTGTTTCTGTACCACACCTGAGAGTATCTATACCACACACCTGAGCACATCTGTATCTTACCTGATAGTGTCACCACACCTGAGCACAAGTACCTTACCTGAGAGTATCTGCTCCATACACCCCAGCACATCTATACCTTGCCTGAGTCTGCACCACACACCTGTGAGTTACCGAGAAGCCCATACTATTTTCATACAGGAACAGCTCTCCCGGCTAGTGAGGAAAGACCTTAACTCATCTATAATCTGACTTTTTCTTTGTGTCTATCTCCCCTTCCCTAACTCAGAAATGCAATTAATACCATTCACACATCATACATTCTCCTCACTGTGGCTGATACAGTGTGAGAGAACAGGTCTCTTAGCATCCATGTCTGGCATTGGGTGATCCACAGAGATTAAACACCGTGTACCTGGCGGAAGGTGCCTCACCAAGGCCTTGAACTGCCACTGCTCCAAGATCAGCTCGAGAGGCCTCCAGCTTCCTGGGGCTTCAGGCTGAATCCAGGGCCCCAGGAGCTGCAGTGCAGGGTAGGTAGGGTGAAGTGGGTGGCCGAGGAAGCCAGCATTTGGAGGATGGGGCCCAGATAGAGCATGGAGAGGCTGGACTGGTGGCGACGCCTACTGCCCTCACTCTAAGCTTGAGGTCTTTACATGCCTGAGATCAAGGGAGAAATGGGAGTGGTGTCTTCCACGGGCACTTCTAGTAGGGACGGTGTGTAGCATGAGAATGGGGACAGGGAAGCAGCAGTTACTGGGTGCAGGGGTTGTGGGTATGAGATTAGATGGAGATGTTGATTCCAGTGTGTTTGTGAGAACCAAAGAAGTCACCTGAGCACATGGATGTGTGGGACTCACAAAGTCAGTTCTAGGGTCTGAAGGCCTCACAGAGTCTGGAGCTTGGGGTCTGGGGGTCTGAAGGCCACTTGTAGTTGCAAATTTGGGATTTGGGGTCAGGGGATTGACATCACTAAAGTAGAATTTGGGGTCACGTGCTGGTGCTGTGTCATGACTGTGTTGGTGTCCAAAGAGGCACTAACATAAAAAATAGTGCAAATCCTCAGAGATCCCCGTGGACCCTCCCCCACTGAGCTCACACAGATAGTGACCAGTGACGTTCACATCCCTCTAATCACTGACACCATGAATAAGAAACCCACACCTCCCCAGATCCCCACATCCCCAACCAGCAAGGTGCTCAATCACAGATTTTCAGGGCCACCCAATTTCTGGTAACAACCATCCAGAACCCAATGTCCTCACAATGCCCCCAAATTCTGGTTTGGGGAAGCACACTTAGAGCGGGGAGGAGCAGAAACAGCCTAAAGCAATTCCATGAGTGGCAGGGCCAAGGGTCACAGGCTGACAGACCACTTCCTCCCTTCACTTTCATGTCTGAAACTCTATCAGACCATTGCAGAGCAAATCATTAGTAAATGACCAAAACACACCTCGAAACTACATTTGGATTTTTATGTCCAAAAAAGTTTTAAGAAATTTAAACAACCTCCTATAATAGGACAAGTCGTATATAAGCATTTCCACTAGTGAGTTGTGCAGACACCCAAAAGTGACCCAAAGGTGTCCCGAACCCCTCGAAGCTCCCCTCATGAGCACATCAGAGATGAACTGGGACAAGGGGTACATTGCTTTATTGCCTACGTGGCATATTCAAATGAATACAATAACCCCCCTTTTTAAAAAGTAAGGCACATGAAAAGCCTTCTGTGCAAGTTCTGTATTATTTTAAAATTCCTATTTGCTAATAAAAGTATTTCTGCTATAGAACTGGAGCTACATAGAAAAGCACATGATGAATGTTTTACATGCAGAATTCCTGAAACATTATTTTCTCTTACCTCATGGCACAATTAAACCGTCCCAAATCAAATGCCTGTATCTGAATAACAATATGACTATTGTTACAACTGGAAAAATGCTAATCAGCTTATCCACATATGTACAGGTGGGTCCCAGAATGTTAATTATATAAAGTCTAAAGGAAGAGCAGTGCCTACTGCATCCGTGCTTCGTTTCGTTAATGGTGAGAGATTTGGCATTTTCAGTCTTTCCATAGTCATGTTGCCGTTTGTAAAAGGCCAGTGTTATACGATGGTGAAGACCATGGAGAGATACTGTTCATATGACACCTGAATCCAGCCATCCTGATCCGTATCGTAGCGTCTGAATATATCTGTCAACCTCTGGGGAAAAAAAACACAGGCATTTAGATCTCAATATTAAACAGAAGGAACAAAATGAATTTGGCAAAAAGACATTTAGGGACCCAATTTCAGAAGCATTCATGTTTCTACATCCCCTAACTAACAGACCAGGGCAGGGAGGCACAACTGAGGGATTCTTGCCCACCTCCCAAGCCAGGCTGACCCAAGCCAGGGCTGCTCCCTCAGAACCTGTCCCCAGCAGGTGAGGCCCTGCACACATCATGGAAGAGCAGGTCTCCCTTCGCCAGTGCAGAGTCCACCTTGCCCACCACGTCCTCCTGTCTGCCAATCCCCAACCCCAGGGCTCCACCCTAGTCTGTTCATAAACCTGACCATTGAGGTCAGGTCAGGTACAGAAGGGCACCAGTACCCAAAGGCAGGGAAAGTCAGATAAGGGCTGCCTCAGGACAGGGCTGGCAACCACAATAGACTCTGAAGAATTATAATGACAAGAGAAGAAAACAACGCCAGGGTTCATTATGGCCTTGGTGGCCAGTCGGCTGCCCAGGGAGGCCTGGAGAAAGGCTGGAGTCTGGCCATGTGGGCTGTGTGCGCCCCGGTCTCCTCAGAACTCCACCTGTTGCCCCTCCAGTGCTGGGGCAAGTGAAATGGCTACAAGAAACGAGGCCTGACACAGGTGACCATCCCCTCAGTGTCAGCCAGGAGCACCCCAGCATGTGTGTGAAACAATAGCAGAAAACAGCAGCAGCGCTTAACTCTGCCTGGAAGAACAATGGGCAATCTTTCTTTTTTTCATTTTTAAAAATTTATTTATTTTTTTATTATGTCTTCATTGATTTCAGAGAGCGGAAGGGGGGGGGAGAGAGAGAGAGAGAGATAGAAAGAAACGGGGGGGGGGAATCTGAGAATATTTTCAAAAATTCTAAATTACATTTAAAAACCTCATGCTGTTCACATCTTCAGTGGATTCTAAAGCTGACAAGATGGAACCTCAACTTGGATTCAAGTTGCAAGGACTTATTTCTAGAGATGGGTTCTACTAAAATATTGATGGAAAAAACACTCTTTCCATAAGTGGAATTTGCCTCAGAATAATGGGGGGTGGGGAGTTATAGTTATTATAATTCATTGGCCATGAGTGATAACTAGTGAATGTGAGTGATGGGCACATTGGGTTAATTTTACTATTGTCTCTTACTGTTAATTTTACTGTTGATTGTTTGTTTTAATCTGTCATAATAAAAATGTTGAACGATATGTGTTTATTAATTCAATGCATTTCTAAAGTTTAAAATATATGGAGCTTGGGTCCCTACCTAGAAACAGGAGCAGGGACCCAGAAACAGGGTGGGAGCGGCCAGTGCAGGATCGATTGCTCTTCTGTCTTAAGAAGGTGTCTCTGGGAAGCCTCCTTAAGCTCTGTGCTTAGTTTTCTTGGGGGTAAAATGTGAGGCTGTAGGATAGACATCTCAGAAACGAGTGGGGAAATGGCACGTGCAGGGCTCAGTGCAACTCAAGAGCTCTACCAGCCCCTGGTTAAAAACAGCACCAACACCCACACAAGGACCCTTGAGCCTGGGAGCCAGGTCGGGGATTGAGACCTCACCTCACACAGGAAGGCAGGGCAGAGGAAAGATCACATGGAAAATTTACCCATCTCCTCAGAATAAAAATACACAACAAAAATAGCAGAGCATGCATGTAAATAACCCACTGGATATGGAAAAAAACCAACTGCTTCCAAATGGACCACTGTATAGTACTTCCAGGGGGAGAAAGCACTACTGTTTACACCTCCGTGTAACAGAAAAAACAGTTACTTCTCCAAAGGCAAGACTAACTTTTAGAAGATCCAGGAGCTAATTTTAAATACGTTTGACTCCATTAAATTGCAAATTCCAGAATGACACTGCCCTTTCCCTCCATGGAGCCCAATTACCTGCAAGACGATGCAGCCCTGGATGAAGTCGTCAAAGGCAATCTGTCCCCGTCCTTGTCTGTCAAACTTTCGAATGAGGATGTCGTGAAACTGGTCCGAGAGCCGGTAGCCTTGAAAGGGAATCAGAGTAAATAGAGGGCCAGGAGGGCCAGCACGGCCTTACGAGCCACGCTCACCACCCCCAGGCCCCCAACAGACAGGCCTCTTATCACAGCTGATAATAAACGGTCTGGGCTGGTGGGAAACACATGGTGCACATTCATTCAAAAGCGCTCTAGGCTACATGACAGGCCAGAGCAGCTTCCTGGAGGGTGAGGGGTAACTGGAGGCAGGACTGCATTTTGAGTTGAAGGATCCCGTGAACTCACTAGTTCACATCACATCCCAACTCCACAGGGTGGCCCCACCACAGACCACCTCACAGGGCTGAGTTTCTTGAATGCAGTGATCATTTTAAAAAGCCCTTTAGCCCTGGCCGGGTGGCTCAGTTGGTTAGTGTGTCATCCCGTACACCAAAAGGTTTTGGGTCTGATTCCCAGTTAGTGCACATACCTAGGGTGTAAGTTCGATCCCCGGTTGAGGCACACACAGGAGGCAACCGATTGATGTTTCCCTCTCACATGGATATCTTTCCCCCTTCCCCCCGCTCTAAAATAAATAAAAGCATATCCTAGGGTGAGGATTTAAATTTAAAAAACAAAAAAAGGCCTTTATGGATCGATTTTTATTACATTTATTAACCTAGATGTGAAAGTTCTGAATAATTTAGCTGCCCTGGGTTAACTCATTACTAGAGAATGTTTTGAAAGATAAAGTATCACTGACGTCTCCCAATTAAACAAAATGTAAACCTAAGAAAACAGATTCATTGATAGCCATTTCCCCCACAGAAATGAAATGATTAGGAAATGGAACATTACAAGGAAGAAGGTAGCTTCACAAGGTTCAAAATCACAACGTTCATCAAAGGGTCACCGTTTCCATTTTCAACTTACTAGGTATGTCATGAAAAGATCTCCAGCAGGAAGATGGCTCTGAAGGCATGGGGACACACAGTCCCTTGTGTGTGGGACATCCCTGGGGGCCAAGGGAACGAGGACACCTACTTCCTTCCCTTTCCTCCCCTCCTGATCCCACTACCTGTATGACCATGGTATCCTCACTTATTCAGGAGACAAGATCCAGGTGCCAAAATATTTTTACTGATTTTCAGTCTTGCTGCAGTCTTTGCAAGGAAATGTACACCCACTGTCTGAGTGAATTTCACAGTTAATTGCGTGTATGAATACTTAACACTTTACTGAAAGATTCCAACATGCAAACATGTAATGGTACCTTCCCAAGTTGCCAGTGTGCTTTGCACGTCTATGACTTAAATCCCAGGTCCCTTCCCTGCAAGCTGAATAGAAGATGGGGTGCCCGACTTAGAAAGAGACAGCAGGTCCTGGATGGCTGCCATTCCTCCTGGCCCATATGATTCTCATCTCCTTACACAAGCACCTATGCCTGTGTTCAGGTAAGAGAGAGGCCCAGGCTGGTGAGGACTGAGCTTGGTACACAGTGACAAGGCTGTGCCCGTTCAGGGTGCAATGGTCTCCTGCCCAGACTGGGAAAGGACAGACAAGATAATAATAATAACACAATAACTCCACAATCTACAGACAATGGAAGCAACATGTATCGTCCCTGGCATTAACTTCCAATGTCTCTAGTCCTCAATACCACTGCAGGGAAAACGAAAGCAAAGAAAGTCAAGACTATAAAACTAAGTGACAGACAAACCCAGGAAAGAATATTTATCTGAGAGGCCAAAATCTGGGAGCAGTCAGTTCTCTACGAGGTCCTTCCAGTGAAAATCCACATAACGATATTTAGAAGGACGTGCCCTTTGCTCGTGGACCCCCATTGCCTGGGGCCCAGGTCTGGACTGGCCATCCTTCACATCTGGGTGTGACCAAAGGGCCACACCCCTGACCTGCAGCTGAGCACCTTTTTGCTTCAGCAGAAAACGAGGGGAGGGGGGGATATGCAGCAAAAAGATGGAAAACAATTGAAAACGACTGATAAGTAAATGGAGATTCATTACACTTTCACAAAGTTTTCATGATAAACACTATACTGGCTTAATGGCTGCCAGGCCCAGGTGGAGGAAAGGGGAGCTGGGTGCGGAGCTGCCCTGTGCCTGCCTGTCATGGGTCAGAGCTGCCCCCGAGGCCTATGGTACATGAGTAAACTCCATCTGGGAGCTGTGTCCTCCATGCTGGCAGGAGTGAGAGCTGTGCCTTACGCGTGTTCTCATTTCCAATTCTCTGTACATGGCATATAGCATATATTAATAAAAAGTTTTAAATGAATGGACTATCAAATCCAGAATGTGTGCCAGTAAGTCCCACAGCGCTGCCAGGGTTGGCCTGAGACACCCTCATGGAGCTGACAAAGGTCAGAGGGCACCTTAGTTCAATCCCCTGATTCCCTCATGCATCTGCTGAGCTAAAATTTATCCCCCTGCTTACCCAAGGCAAGATGCTTGTTCTTAGGGGTCAAGGAACGGAACTTTCTGCTTCTGTGGTACATATCCTAACAGTTACTACAGAAAATCTTCCAAAATAATCAGTGTGGGAAAAGGATGACAATGTTCCTTTAACAGAAAACACAGCTTTGGAGAAGCCCTGGAAAAATCAAGAACCAATTGCAGGAAGAAAATTTTTGGAATAACTGAAGAAATGCTACAAAAGAATATTTACTTTCTTCAGAAAAACTAGGACGTCAGGAAGGATCTCAGCACTGAGAGTGTGAGGAGCCTGCCAGCTCCTGACTAGGGATCTCTGCCTGACCTGCTCAGCTCTGCTGTAGCTGCAGACACCCTGGGTCTGACCAGGACTGGGGGGAATGACTGGGGCTGGGAGGCCCGAGAGTCCCAGGGCACCCTCTACATAAGTATTTCTACCATAAGCTCTAGGAACCCAGTGGTCACAGTACTAAGTAAAAAGGGGGCTCTGGGCCTGGCAAGGTTAGAAAATGCAGTTCCATGACCCGTGATACACCTGAGGTCACTTGACTAAAATCACTTGTAAGATGTGGGCCTCTCCCAAGTTCTCCCTAGCCTGGCTAGGCCCCTAGCTCCTTTCCTCCCAGACTTCCCTAGGGCCTCCACCAGTCCTCCCACCTAAGGGCAAAGCAAGATCAGTTGCATTCTGAGTTCCAACTCCGAGAACCTGAGGTTGACATCCTGCTCAAACTCTGAACACATCTGGTGAGCTCCAGACTTCTTGTGCCATACCACAGCCTCCACCTAGTACTATGTCTGAGTTTATAAGGCAAGAAAAGAAAGTGAGAGAAAGAGAAGAGAGACATAAAGTACATGACCAGAGAAAAATAGAGAGGGCAGGACCATGTTAACCACCACAAGAACTAAAATGTAGTTTATATTATTAAAACTCAAGATACCTAGAAAATAGTATATTACAATCTAACTTTTCTTATTTTTCCTACAAGGCATTTATAAAGCAGCCTTTTAAGAAAAACATAGAAGGAGTTTTGTAATACAGGCCCTGTGAACACAGGGCCAAGTAAAATTGTCCCAAATTAGAATCTCAGTGTAACTTCAAACCTTGAACAAGTCCAACATCCCAGTTTTTCCTCTATAAAAAAATCCCAACTTCCTCTCAGACCCATGCATGGTATCAGAGGCACACTGACCCACTCTGGAAAGGTACCATACCATGTGCACATTTCTGAAGGCACTGCACGCACACACGCTGACATGCACTTGAGAATGGGAGCTCGTGCTGACTCTAATGCCCTACCTGCGCGGCCTGTGATGTGCACTACAGCTTAGAGAATCATCTCTTACAGGTATTTTATCATCTTTCTGTGTATTTTGATATATCATGAAATATAAGTGCCCTACACTATCTTTTTCACTTACTCACTTTAAATTATTTCAAAGCCACATTCTCAATGTGCTTGTGACGTTATTCCAATTCACAAAAGATAAATGATTGCATAGCCCTTATCTCATTTTGGATGAAAAATTACATTTAAAAAAGACTGCATAAAAGTCTTCAATAATATCAAATTATAAGTCTGTATGATGTAAACAAAAACTTCACATAGACTGGCTTAAAAAATCAGTAAGCTGAACAAAGTAAAAGAACTTGAATGGTACCTAGGTTCCAAAATGAAACATGCTACACAATCAAGGTAAGTGAATTACCAAAACCTGAAAGTGCTTGCTTGAGCTCGTTCTTGTCAATCATTCCCGAGTTATCCCTGTCGTAGGTACGGAAGACATTCTGCCAGTCTGTGATGTACTTCCAGACGCCTGTGAATTCGCTGAAGTTCACGCCAGCCTTGTTCTCACGATCAAACATTGCTGTGACAAAAAGGAGTGTGAGTGGTGCACAATGAATGGAATCTGAATATTAATCAGCAAGAAACATGACCATAGTAGTTATCTCCCCAGCATGGCACTTGCCCAACAAATCCTTAAGTGTTGCTAATCATGCTCATTAGCTGAGTGAGGGGCAAGATCACCTCTGTTGGGGCAGGGCAGGGGAACTGTCACCCAACCACAGCCCCTATGAAAAGGAAAAATGCAAGCAAAACACACTATTAGAGCCACAATAAAAAGGATACTTCAGTCCGGCTGGTGTGGCTCAGTGGTTGAGCATCGACTTATGATCCAGGAGATCCCGGTTCGATTCCCAGTCAGGGCACATGCCAAGGTTTTGAGCTCTATCCCCACTAGGGGGTGTGCAGGAGGCAGCCAATCAATGACTCTCTCGAATCATTGATGTTTCTATTTCTCTCTCCCTCTCCCTTCCTTGCTCTAAAATCAATAAAAATATATTTAAAAAAAAAAAAAAAAGGGGGGGGGTACTTCACACAGGTAGGTTCTACAGAAGCACAACCACTGGTGGGTGCTCTTGCTTTGCCAGGAAGATGCCAGAGCTAAAGTGCCCCTTATTCACAGCCTCTAGGTCTGGATCTAGAACACAAGGCACCCTCCATTCCCCAGGACTGACATCCTCTAGTGGAGTCCACTCCAATGAGAAAGACTTTCTACTATCTTTAATGGTTTTTTTTAGTAAGAACTGCCTTTCATTTAAAAAATCGGCCCAATTCCAGGTCCAAATACAAAAGAACCTGTAATTACATTTACATAAAATTGCAAAGTGGCTAAAATATATGTATATAAAGACTAACTCTGAATTACTGCCATAAAGAAACTGATAAATCATTTGCTGTCTCTTCAGATAAAGAGATTAATGGACACCTATAGTATGAGTGCTCTCGGTTTGCTCAGAAGTACATTACATTTAGTGAAGTTTCATGTTCCTCCAGTCAGCAGTGACACAGGATAAGGACTGCGTGTGGAGGGTACAGTCCAGTGTATGCATGAAAGCTTCAGGGCTGGCAACTAAAAGGGTGGATCAGACGTAAACTGGCAGTAAAGCATTAGTGAGGGGACAGAAGGGCGGGATGAAGGCCCACCCCTAACTAGAGTTCCAGGAGAGTAAGTAGGAAGCCCAAGCTGCACCAAGCAGCCCACACCTGTGCCTGCGCAGGCAGGATGCTGGCGCCCTTACTTACATATGATTGACCGGACAGTCACAGGATTAAATGGAGTCCAGGTGCCTGAAAACAAACAGGAGTAAAGTAAGAGAATGATCTGTACCTTTATTGATTTTTACACTCAGTAAAAACAAAGTAAAAAACATGTTTTTAATGTGGAGGAAAAGCAGTATCTCTGCCCATCCCCTATTTGTATAAAAAGAGCCCATTTTTTCTTCTATATACACAACTGTTATAGTTCCGGGTGGCACACAGAGATGCACTCCCGACCTTTGAGCTTTGGTGGGCTGGAGAGTCTGCAGGGTGCCATGCCTCACACTCAGGGACACTGGGCCCTGCAGCACCTCCCAAGTGCCACTCCCACCCAATTCGGGGCTTGTCCAAGCTTCTGTAACCCTCACATGTGCCCATCTAACACATGTACCCCCTCCACCCAACTCCAACCTCCCCTGTAAGCCTCAGCTGAAATGCTTCCTCAGGGAACTTTCCCTGAGTACCCCACACTCCAGGTCACTAAGCTAGATCCATCTGCTCTGCCTGCCCTTCTGACTGCCCCTTCAGAACACCTGCAATGGCTATTACTCCAGGAAGGCTGGTCCTCCCAAGAAAGCAGGGGCTCACCTGTCCCCAGGCTTGGCACACATCAGTGCTGGACAGCACCTTTGTGCAGATTTCACAGATCTTTTAGGGAAAGGTGAGCAGGAGTATGTATAGAAAGGAATGATGAATAGTAGTATTATTAGAAACCAGTATAAAGAGAAAACTATGTTACAGGAAAATTCCACATACAGGGGACTGTTTCACCCATGCCTGCTGTCGCCTCCCTCCCTCTTAGTGGCTCCATGAACTGAATTGGGTTTCACAGAAAATAACCCACCACTGACCAGAAGCCAGAAACCACAAGTACCTACTGGAATATCTTCCTTCCTCTGTGCTGATACAGACTAAGTGACCATAGGAGAAGAGTTGGGAATGTGGGCTAAAGTGAGCTGACTGTGCAGAGCTGGGGTGGTTGCAGAGATGAAGCTGCACCCACATTCCACCCCAAATGCGCACATCAAGCCAGGGCCGTCAGCAAACGACTTGCCGGTAAAAGTGTTAAACAAAAGCAGTACAAGTAAACCAGTTAAATCAGGCTGCACACACAGGCACTCTCATGGTGAGGGCCAAGGGCCCCAACAGGCACATGTGGAACGCACAGATGGCACACCACAGAGAGGCAGGCCTGCGGGACTCAGCCATGCTGGGGGAGTCTGAGGATTGGAGGTCTGGGGCTGAGTCAATGATGAAGAGACCTGGAACGTGGAGGAAGGCTACAGGCATCCACTCATCCTTCTTGTTAGCCAAATGGGACCTGACTCTCCACAGAAACCAGGGGGCAATAACAACAGCTAACAGACTCTGTTGTGTGCTAGTTCTGTGGCCTGGTTCCCAGGCCTAACATCAAAGCTTACTAACCCCACAATGAAGCTGAAATGTCGCAATGTGCAGACATTTCACACTCTGGTTATATTAAACATTAAGTGCACCTGAGTGTCAGCCCGAAAACCTAAACAGTTTATAAAGTGTTCTGTAACAAATCACACTGCAACACCAATAAGGCGTTTGCAACAGCACTTGCTGAAGGCAGAGGACACATCTTACAGGTGGGTTTTTTTCACAAGCCCTTCACCTCCAGCAAGCCTCTATCCCAGGTTTCCTGGGCCAGCGCAACTTCAAACATTTCCATCTCCTCTTCCCAGTAACCGCTGTGTCCAGGAATATCAGAAGCATCCAGCTTGCAAAAGATTTCCTGCCAGACTTTTACATAGAAATATATGTTCACTGTATGTATAAGTCTTGTCTCAACTTCATCTCAAAGAACCAAAGAACACAAACATACTATTATTTCCCCTGTAAATTGAGTACTCAACTTTTCACCCATAATTTGGGATCAGTGCTAAAACCTTAAGAAGCAACACTGCACGAACAGTGTGCTTACGAAACAAGCTACCATCTATAGGGTGGTCAGTCATCATCGGGGGCTTTAGTGTTTTCCCACTTAAAAACTCCAAACACACAAATGGTTTTAGGAATTTATATCTGCTCCCTTCTCAAAAGGGGAAATCCCACTCTGCTCTACAATAATATATTGCCTTTTTAGTCTCCAAAGAGTTTTCTTTCTTAAAATTACGTCCTATTAACGAAAAACTTAAATTTTGATTGAAGAAGACTTGAGTGATGGTGAAGGGTTGTCTTCACAACATGTCGCATACATACAACTGAAACACCTAAGTACTTGGAATCTTTTGGGGCAGGGGGGAAGGGACAATAGACTTTTCCCACCATCACTGGTGATCTCTGTGAGTCTCCCTGCAGCAGACCCAGAGTCCAGCCTTCCTGGGCTTTTCTGCCAGAGGAGCTTGTGAGGAGGGGGTAGAAGTGCCACAGGGCCTGACTCTGTTCTATGCATGGATTTGTGAGGACTTCAGTGCCTCTTCAGGTTCAGCAAAAGCCTACATTTCACCCAGTCATCTTCAGTTATGGCTTCAAACAGCCAAGACTGGAAATATGGCCTTTCTGAAAAGCCATCTGAATACTGACCAAGAGCACGATGCCTACACCCTTTGATCCGGTAAATGCCCCTTCTAGAAACTTGTTCTATGAAACTTTGGGTCCAATCACTGCAATAGTTACATTATTGAAAATGAAAACAATCTTAAGTGTCTAAGGTAAACACTATAAACTTCATTCTGGTAGATACAACAGTGTCTTACAGTTCTGGACCAGACAGGGTGGGACCTGGAGATGGGCTTGGTTGGAGGGGAAAAGGATTCTCAACATCCAGTCACCCTGTTTTTATACCCAAAGACAGAGGCCAGGAATGCTGCGACCTGCCCAGGCTCATGAAGTGCCCTGTTGGTAAAGCCAACCTTCCTTACTTCTATCGGAAACTGGTGGGCAAGTTTCTAGGAAGGGCAGATGTGACAGGCTGTACTGAGGCCTCTCTCAGGCTTGATAGCTTGCTAGGATGACAATACTCATGGTCAGTTTGTTACAGAGAAGGGAGAGTTAAACCAACACAGCTAAAGGCATTGGGACAAGTCTGGGGGAGACCAGGAACTGATTCCAGAGCCCCACGTGGAGTCACAAAGGAAAGCTTAACCCTCTAGTGACAGGCTGATGACACACATGAAGTGCTGTCCAACAGGGAAGCTCCTCTGAGCCTGGGAGTCCAGGGTTTCTTTAGGGGATCAGTCATGGAAGCTCCAGGTGTCCAGAGGGAAGTCAGGTGCTTTGCATCACCAAACTCTCAGTGTGAATATCCAGGCAAATGGGTACAATGCACTGAAGGCCCTGAGTGGGCAAAACACTTATCAGTCAGAACATTCCAGAGGGAGCCCATCATCTAACAGGCCCTTCCTGGAAACGTGTGGGCTCTGAGTAACCCAGCCTGCTGAGTCAGCCCTCACCTGCATACAGGCAGATGGGGGCTGAAGGTGAATCTCACTCCCTCTGCTGCACTGGGGCAACAAACACCATCACCCGCGACACTGGGCTGGGGCAGGACAGGGATGCAACTGTAGGTCCTGTCTGCTTGGATGGTCTTATTCTTCTCATTTCTTCAAATATGGGCTCCCCAAGAAAGCTAGAACTCTACTTTGATAAAAGTACCTTAAAAATATATGAATTATTATTTTTTAAACTGGTAAGAACAGATACTACACTTGATCTTAGCCAAAAGGCCGAGAAGTGATGAATTATTATTTTTTAAAACATAGCTAAAAATGTCTCCTCAAAATACATCAATATCTATGTTAAGGCAAACATTAAAACACAAAAGAGGCTTGAGCAAAATTTTTTTTTTAAAGTATCTAAAAGTAAAGATAGTTTGTGACAGGTTATTTTAAAACGAAGGCACAAGAACAGTCCTCTCCCTCTTTAGACCCACTGACCACACACGTCCTGAGAGCAGTCATTTCTGGTGGCTTTCCTACAAAGGACTCAGTGTGTGGGACCTACAAAAGCCCTTTCCAAGATGGTTTCAGCTGGACTCAAACAGAGAGCGCTCCAAACCACAGGTCTAACTAAAGTGAGAGACTATGTTGTTCTGTAGCTTCAGTTTCCCACCAGCAATAAACTAATAAAAATAATTTCCTGAGATTGCCCAATAGTCTAGTTCTAATATGAAAACAAAAGTCCATTCCTGGGAGAAAAATCAGAACTGAAAATAACTTCAATCATATCAGCAACAGGAATTCGAGGAGGAGTGAAGAGAAATGACCTTGTCTATTCAGTAACCAGCTCAGTCCTCATTTAGGAGATAGCTACAAAAATGGTTAAGGAGAATGAAGAGAAAGGAACACATCAAAGAAAAAGAAATGCTGTTCAAAAGGAGGGGCAGCACACGCCACACAGGAGGAAAGGGGTTTGAAGATGTGGCGGATGGGCGGAGTTCATCTTACCATGAGAGGCAGGCATTCTAGGAAGGAGCAGAGACTCAAGGCCAGGGGGGATGCCACAGGCGCTAGAGGCATTAGATGGCGCCAAGAGACAGGTGGGAAAGCAGCGGGGTCAGCGGCCTGACTGAGGAGTAAGCCTGAGGCAGAATGGGTGCGGCCCTGCTGTGCACCAGATCCTGGCTCTGCAGTGTGAGAGCTACGAGGGCAAGCAAGTGGTGGTAATACCGTTAGGCACTCTGTGACGTGAAAAGAACTAGAAATCGGGACTCATTATTAACCTGCTTGCTGCGGAAAGAACCTAAAGGAGTTGATGAAGGCCTGGCCGGGCAGCTCAGCTGGTTAGTGTCGTCCCCATCTGCCGAGGCTCAGCATTCCATCTTCGGTCAGGACACACACAAGAAGTCACAATGAATGCATAAACGAGTAAAACAACAAATCAATGTTTCTCCCCCCCGCCCTAAAAAAAACAATACAAAATTAATATTTTTTTTAAAAAAGAAGTTGGTGAAGATAGTAACAAAAGTAAATTTTAACTATGTTGGATGGGAGGAGAAAAGGAGGGTAAGAAAGTGCGGAGCCTGAGGTTACATTCAAGAAGCTCATCCCTTACACCTCTAAACTCTGGTTACTGGTGGGCCACAAATTTAACTTCAGGTTTTTAGCAGCTAATTTAAAGAGGAAAACATAACTGGTTAAAAGATTCAGTGTTTTGCCCAGCCGGGCATGGCTCAGCGGTTGAGCATCGACCTAGGATCCAGGCGATCGGGGTTCGATTCCCGGTCAGGGCACATGCCCGGATTGCGGGCTCGGTCAATGACTCTCTCATCATTGATGTTTCTATCTCTGTCTCTCCCTCTCCCTTCCTCTCTCTGAAATCAATAAAGATATATTTAAAAAAAAAAAAAGATTCAGTCTTTATAAGATTCAAACAAGACAGAACAATCACCACAGTTGCTTAGTACACAAGAAGCACCACACCTGCAGGGAGAAATGAAATGGACATTTCTCTAGGGCTGCCCCAGAGAGGACCTCTCTCAGGATTAAGTGACTGCTTCATGGAGCCAGCTCTTATATGCCCCCAACAAAAGCTGGGGAAATCCATAGGGCAACTCAAGAAAAGTGACTATGAGATGCACCTGACACATACTTGTTAGTTGGGTTACACCAGGTATTGATTTCAAAGTTGTCTTAGGAAGGGGGGAATGATCACCCTTTCAAAAATCCTGTTAAAATTCTCTGTCAAGCAGGCTCCTGGTTGAGATTTAGTAGCAGCGGAGTTCAAGACTATGTTCTGACAGAACAAAGAGCCATATGCTCCAACAACCAGCAGAACCAGGGGGCAGTACTGACACCTCTAGTAGAGACAAGAGGAGCCTAACCCACAGGTCAGAACAGAGGGTCCCCCGCTCACATCCACGGGACTCAAACAACGATGCTGACTGTGGGACAAGGTTTGTTAAGTGCCCAGCACAGTGCCCATGTGTGGTGTAGTGGATGCTCAGTAGGTGGTAACCATCATCACCTCTGTCATTAGGAAAAGAAGGGCCATCAAAGACTCAAGTTGGCTCTTTGGCCAGTAACAGTGGCAACAGCACCACTATTCCTCACCCCAGAAACAATACTGAGCCCTTGCTTTGTGCCAGGCATCACACCAGTGTTCTGCATGCACTTCCTCAATTTACCAGCCCAGTAACTGTGGGACACAGATCCAGAAAGGTCGAGTCCTTGCTCAAGGCCACATTCCTAGAACTGGTTGAGCTAGGATTTGAATCCAGGTAGGCTGACCCCAGTGACCTCACCTCCCCCCACCTCCCCCCAAGGTAGACAGATTTAGAGTATTTGACCATCACTCCCAACTGAGCAGGTTTCACAAAAACCCTAAACCTGGGCAGGACTCTCAAGCCTTATAGCAAACAAACAAAAGGAGATGTCCAAATGGATCACAAATCAATTCTTACTCACTGGAAAAGAGCTCAAAAGAAAAGCCTTACCCTGCAGGGCACTCTCACTGTGATGGCCAACATCTTTAACATCCGGCCACAATTAACATATGATGTGAAGAAATCATCCATTTTTGTCAACACTTAGAAAGTTTTAATCCAGGATTTGCCAGATTATAGTCTGCTGGATTTGTGCTCTGGACATCTTTCTAGTAACCCTGTCTTCTACTAGTGTAACTCTAATAGTACTTCCACAGGTTATTCAAGTTGAAACTGGCAAGAACTCAGCCATGGAGAACCTGCAACACACCACCCACAAGAACTGTAACCCTCACCCCTGTCTGAATGCCTATAATTCTGCCACTGACAAGACCACCACCCCACAATCCAGTGGGCTCTGGGACCTTGGTGATCCTCTCCAGAAGGGTCACAAAGATTACCTAAGAAAAACAGTGATCTTCAAGATACATGAAGGATATCTGCTATACAAAGCTAAACTTCCTATCCATCCCTAAAACCTATGTCCCCAACTTGCACTTCTCAAACAGTTTCCCTATGCCCATCCACACAGTTGTTCCTCAAGGCATTTGGAGTAGCACTGACAACCACCAGGAAACCACTGGGCAAAATAAATCAGAAGCACCTCCACTATGTGCCAATAATAACAGGTCTACAGATGGGTCAGGCTGGCAGTTTAGAAGTCCTAATGGGAGGTCCCACTCACCATTGGACAGTGCTTGCTGAAGCTCATTGTCGGATATCACGCCGCTCCGGTCTTTATCAACCCTACAAAATCAAGACCAATTCAGCTGGTGATTAAAAGTGCAGGAAAAGCAAACCATGGCAAGCACAAACGTTTAACCCCACTGACCAGGCTACATTAACTCTGGCATGTTTCTTCCCATGGACCTTTCACTTTGTTCTGCTGGGGAACAGGTATACGCTGGAGCTCCTTCACAAAGCCTAAGCACTCCACCTGCCAAGTTGGTTCTCTCCAGAGGCCAAGTTATTTTTTCACTCTCCTTTCCCTTTCCCAGGCCTTACTCTTTGATTATTCCATGGCCCCAGTTCCCCCTACACCAGTTTCTCTTTTGTTCACAAACAGGAAAAAACTGTCTCAATCAAGTCATTCTCGGGCCATGAGTCACTCAAGTTTCCGTCATTCATTCACTAGAAGGACGGCCATGGACGGAAGGAGCTCAGGTAAAGATCACCTGTCCCGGCAGCCATCATGTCCCAGCTTCTTTCCTGGCTGCTGGCATTTTAATAGTGCTAGAGCAGAATCTTGTTTCTGTTTATCTAAAACTAGCATCGCCAGGAGACCCTCCCGGAGCAGCAAGAACCTGCCCCTCGCCTGCGGGTTTTTGGCTGTTTGGGGAGGTGGGTGGAGGCAGCGCTCCAGAGCGTCTTCGGAAAGCTCCACACCTCGGGGAGGGGCCCGGAGGGAGGGTGAAGTCCTGAGACAGATGGGGACAGAGGAGGGGAGTGAGCAGAGCCGAGGCCTCAGGAAAAGTTGGGGGAGGGAAGCTGGGGCAGGCCAGGGAAAGGCTGGAGGAGGCGGAGCGGAGACGGTGGCTGGGGAGGGAGACCCGGGAGAGACCAGGGCAGGCCGGAGTGCAGGCTGGGAAGAGGCCCGGGGGCGGAGGAGGCAGGCCAGGACCGGGAGACGCGAAGAGGAGAAATGCAGCAGAAGGCTGAGGAGAGGACGCGGGCGGGGGGCGCGGGGGGCGCGGAGTGCGGATCGGGACAGTCCCTGGGCGGGGGGTAACATGGAGCCGGAGGTCGGGGAGAGGAGGAGCGGAGGCCGGCAGACTCCCGTAAGCCCCGCGCGCCGGATCTCACCTCTGGAAGACGTTCCACAGGAAGCTCTGGTCCGGCAGCGCCGCGCCCACGGCTGGGCCGGGGCCCGGGCCGGTCCCGGGGCCTGGGCGGTAGGGGTAGGCGGCCATGGGCCCAGGGGTGCGGCTAGACTGAGTAGTCCGAGGCTACAAGAGACGCCTCAGGGTAGCTGCACTTCCGCCTCTGCCAGGGGCGGGGCCAGTAGCTACGTCACTTCTGGGAGCAACGGGAAGTGCGATTCTCCGCAAAGGTCCCCAGGCCTAAAGCTGCGAATCCCTCCGCGGCCCCGTTGCCAGGCACCGCCGAGTCCCCCCCTGCTCCCTGGCTGCTGGCGGCCTCTAGGTGTGGGTACCGCTTGCTTCGCCCCCGCAGAGCGCGCGTGAGGGGCGGAAGGGGCTCCACGAGGGCACGTTTAATTCTTGCACCAAAAGAAAGTCGTGAAAGCGAATGTGATCGAGGGGAGGACGCGCGTGGAATACCCTTGCGCTTCTCTGGGTTTGCCTGCCCGTCCCCGCCCTCTTCCCCACGTTGGGTCCCCCGCGCGTCTTTCGCGGACCTCCCCAGTAGCTCTCCGTGCCTGCATACCCGGGAACCCTCACGCTCCCGGCCAATCTGTCCCCGTCTCCGGGTAACAGACACCGCCCTCGTCGGGACAGACTCTGAGCGTTTTAAGCGAGGTCCCTGCCTCGGGGCACTCGTGTTCCCCACCAATCCACCGGCCTTGCCCCTCCCGCCCGGGTTCGGAGGCTGAATTTGTTCCTGTGAGTTCATAGACTTCCAGCTTCGCAGGTTTTTAAATTCCCGATTCAATGATCGCTGACCTGTTTCATCCTCAGAGCTGGGAAGCATTTAACAGAACATGGGAGGACCGAGGGCTAAGGACACGACCTTTTATCCGAGGCATCGGAGTGCTCCCGGTGGACACGAATGCATTATTCAGCGCTCTGGGCGCGGCTGATCCTGCCCCGACGGTTACCCTCTGTCCCACTTAACACGAGGCTCCATCCTGGAGAGTTCCTTCAAATTCTACAAAGAAATTAAGATATTCTGTGACTGTGTCATTCACCTAAGGTACTAATCCTCAGACCTCTTCAATAGTGTGGGGTTTTTCTCATGACTCAGTGAATTAAGTGGTTTCTTGTTTTCTCATATTCACATCACTTGAATAGTCCTTTCTAGATTTTCCACAGCTCTTCACTCTGTAGTTTCTGAAATCCATCTTTATTCTGTCTCCCATCTCTGGCTTTTTTGTTCTCTAGAGCTCTACAAAATTAGTAACTATTATTTTCCAACCCAATTTGTAAATTTTCTGGTACATCAGCAAGAACCCTCTGGGTGACTGCAGAGGGCCCCTGCCTCCCTCTCTCCACTGTCACTGGCTCCACCAACCTTTGGCCAAGTCTCCAGCCTGGATTGGCAAGGCCAACACCACCTGTGGGGCCCAGAAGGGCCCCATTCTACTTTCTGTTTAGTTCTAGGGGTGGGAAATGATTCATTCAAGGTGAGAACCACTTACTGGATGCTTACAATTAGATAGAATCTACCCTTGTGTTCAAGTATTACTTTATGTAATCCTCATACATGCACCTGGTAGCAAAGTCCCAAGGTCCACGTTACTGATGAGAAAACCATGGCTGGCCTAAGGTCAAACAGGAAATTGATTCTCTCTGCTTTTCCTGCATTACTTCAGTGGTAGCAAGGCTGACTTTTAAAGGGGAAATTACTAGGAAAGAAAGGTTTATAGAAAAATCACCCCTGCCCCTTGTACATTCACCAGACTGGTCTGGTGCACTCAAGAGCCAGGCAGCCCTAATTTCCAAGGAACCTCTGGCTCTGAGAAGCTAAGCCTGAGCACTGCACATGGGTCGCACCCCTGTGCTGCATTGCTAAGGCACAACCAGGCCTTGAGTCCTCACAATGGACCATTGCCATTGATGAGGGGCATTGCCTGGGGCCCTGTCACTACATTACAAAGATGTACAACAATGGAGACCACCTTCTGCCAACAGAAAAAGGCAGATCATCTCTTGCTCCTGGTCCTACTAACTCAATCATTTAAAGTATTGATGTGCTTGCCTCTATCTCCTTGCCTATCTAGGGATCCAATTCCCTCCTAACCTAGTCTGTTCTAAGCTTTCCATTTAGATGGTGCTCCTGGATGGGAGGCAATAAACTGAAAGACAACACTGCTTTCTTCCCTACATTAAAGGTATCACACGATGTATCAAATCTCAGGCCAGTCTTTCCTTTTGGTCTAATTTCTCGGAGCTAATTGGGAAATGCCTTTTTATTATCCCTAGAATTTTTCTAAACATTGATTTTATCTGGATGATAGAATTCCTAACTTTCTATAGTCCACCCTCGTATTCATTCTATGGCATACAGGAAGTTCATGGATGACTAAATTTTGTATGTGTCCTACCTTAACAGATTACCTGTCTTTTCTCATCAGCTGCACTGTGACATTTGCATAATGGGTAACTTTTCTTTTTCAGTCTCTCCCTTTTACAGCCTCTGGTGTAGAATTCTAGGAGCCAAGAGCCCACCTTCCCTTTCCTTCCCAACCAGTATCATCAGAATTCAGTATGAAGGGAATGCCCTACCACTTTTTGTCAGGTTTCTTACTGAGTAGTGATCAACTCATCAAATATATGCTGTTTTCTTAGGTACTAGCAAATGTCTACATTAGCAGTGGCCAATAAAACTTTCTGCAATGATGGAATGGTTTTGTATATGCTATCTAATGTGGTAGCTATGGGGCACATATGGTTACGAAGAACTTAAAATGGATCAAGGTGACTTGGGAATGGAATTTTAAATTTTAGTTAATTTTAATGAACTTAAATGTAAATAGTCATGTGGCTATGGCTATTGCTATGGACAGTGCAAGTCTGAATGTTTTACTACTATGTCTTATCTTTCTGCTTCTTTTAATCCATATTAGAAATTATCCACATCATCTTTGGGCAGTATTCTATTCTCTTTATATCTTGATTCACATTTTTTTATTTCTCTGGTTCATCAATTCCCCTAGCACAGGTGGGTTCATTTAGAAACTGAACACATTTTACAAACATTTCCAGTGTGAAATAATCTGTCCCATGGCTCCTTAACTAGCGGAGTCCCATAGAAACATTTCCAGACTACCCACATGCTTGGTAGTTTTCTTGGTCTCAGGATACTCATTAAAGTAGTTTGAAGGTTTCTGTTTCAGAGTAGCAGACAGACAAAAGGAAACCACCGATTCTTTCATTGAAGCCTAACTGGCCCTTCTGTTGTTATCGTATCCTGCTTTAGTGGTACTGTGCTAGCTTTTAATTCATTGTCGCTCGAAAGCCTGTATTAATGCTTCCACTTAGTTTACAAAATGCTCAGACATATATATATTTCTCATATCTACTGGCAGGGATGAATCTTTCTGAGGTGGTCAGTTGTCTTTCTACCCGTTTTCAATTACCTCCTTCATGTTGGACCATATTATTCCATGTAGGTGGTTTTCAAAGTGTGGTCCTTGGACATGTTAAGAAATGCAGTATCTACTGAATCAGAAGTTCTGGGTGGGGGCAGGAATTCCTTAACGACCTCTCAATGTGATTCTGATGCACACTTAAGTTCTAGAACCACTATATTAGGGATTGCAAAGTGGCGACCTTCAAATTCTATCATTCCTTATTTATTTACAGGAAGTCCTCTGTAAAGAAGTTTCCCTAATCAACTAGGTTATCCTGAATTGCAGTTTGTAGAGAAAAGCCAAGATAACTTTATATTCCTTTAATTGTCCATTTTCAGGGTTAGGAGTTAGTGCCCTCATTGCTTCCAAGAGTGACCAATTATGTTTTTTTCTTTTTTTTTTTAAACTATCATTATACGTTCAGTTTTTAATCTATTCAGTGTTTCAGTCAGATGTGATCATTATTGTTTGCTGGCTCCCATGTGCCCTCTGGCATGGTTCCAGCAGTCTTTGATGGTTTCCTGGGTCTCTGAATCAGAAAACCATTTTAGGCTCATCTTGCACATTTCCTCCCCCAGCCCAGGAATCAGCAATTCTTCATGGAGCCCTAGTTTCTTTAAGTGGGATATGGTACGCAGGCCACAATCCAGGTGCTTGGGGTGTCTACTGCTACTGGGGCAGAGCTAGGAAATGTGTATTTCTTTTGAAGAGCAAAGAAAAGAATGAGTTTACACTTATATTTCTGTACCAAATTTAGCATTACAGGGTTTTCTCCTCTCTGATTTTGAATGTTTCCTCTTAAAAAAAAAAAATCTTAGTTTTAACATTACCATAATTAGTTATTAGCTTTAACTCACACTACACAATTTCAAAAGATAAATGCCAACATTACTACCAATAATGAGATTACTGATTGAAATTTGGGATTTCTTAGTGACTCTATTTGTAGTTAGATTCTAGTTTACTAAAGTTGTAGACTCAATGCCACTTGAAATAATGTTCTCCTTTATGTGACTGTCAAAACTGGATTTGCAGTTGGGTTTTAGACACTTGATGCTGTCCCTTGGCACTCTCCAGATCTGTGCAGCCCCTAGCTTCTTGCCCCAAGAACCTGCAACTCTGCCTGAAGGCTTTCCTGGTGGTAAAGTGTGGCTTGGAGCAGGGCCAGGAGTTTTGGCACCCTGGATGCAGCCTTCAACCCATGAAACACACCAGTCCCCTTTCTTGTGAACTACTGGTTCAGCAGTGTGGATGAATCTCAATTACCATGCTAAGGGAAGAAGCCATATTAAATACTACATGCTGTATGTTTCCACTTATATAAAACATAGAGAATGCAAACTAATCTGTAAGAAAGGAAAGCAGATCAGTGGTTCCCTGTGAACTGGTGGGAAAAAAGGGGAGGTGGGTATTTGGAAGTGGTGAATATATTTATTATCTTCTGCCAATTATACCTCAAAAAAAGATGTTAACAGTGATAACAAAACAAAAAAGAATTAGAAGACAAGCTACACTAAGATAAAATTTCTCATTATGTGAATGGTAAACATCTAGAGGCTTGCCATCACACCTTTGCAAAGTAGGACTCTCATACATTGCTGGTGGGAATGCCCACCAGCCCAAGAATTTGGCAACATCTGAAAAAAGGTGACTCAGCAATTCTATACCTAGGACTCCACCTCAAAGAAATGTCAAAGAAAACGACTTCACACACAAAGTTATTCATTGTGATATCTGTAATACTGGCAACAACACAAATGTTTACACTAGGGGATAAGCTCCATGTTGGAAAACACCACCAATGACCACATTAGGGGATAAGGTCAATTCAGCAGTGAAGGACTACGAAGCCACAGAGGATTGAGGACAACTCTACTGATGACAAGGAATAACCAACCCCAGAATATACAGTGTGCGTAATATATGCAAATATCTATTTGCTTTTTTTTTTTTTAAAACACTCACTAGAAATACAAAGCGGTGCTCTGGGGGGAGGAGAGAGGATGCAGCGATAATTGAGGCGAGCCCTGAATAAAATAGACTTTGAAATCATGTAAATGTTTACATGATTTCAAACATATTAATAAGCTTTAAAAATTTTGAGACAATCTCGAAAACTGAAAAATAGAATCTGAAATAAATGAACATAATTGCCTTGATTGGTTTCTACAGAAGCTAACGCTGAAATAAGAACTTGGGGGTGATGCCTAGCAGCACCTAAAAGGAAGTGGGGAGGGAAGAAATCCATATTACATCCATATCAGTTTCACTTAGTATTTGGTTACTGAAACGCTTTAGGACACATATTCACATATGAAACCATTTGTTTACTAAGAACAAGGAGGAAATGTTTGTTTTCTTCATTTGCTGCCAAGCAGTAAAATTCATTTTTACTTAAATATACACTAAAACAAAATTTTGGGCTTTCAGTGTACCAGAATAAAAAGATAACCACATTTAATATTTCAGGTCAACAAATATGCCTAAAGCAAGTCTATAATTTATGTTTTAAGAATCCTGCCAAGTTTTATTATTTCACAAGAATGAAGCAAGGGATAAAAGTAAGCTTAACACTGTGGCTTTAATCACTGGCAAGCTGCTGACCACTGGTCTCTACTCAGATGGCATTTCTCATTCACTAGAGAACAGAATTTTAAAAATACAGTCACACTTTGAACATGTCTGTGAGCTATTATACATTATTACAAAAGCAGGTCAACTCCGGTCTCATCAGTAGGAGCGAATGGCTGGGGGAACTGTGGCGCAGTCAGACTCATTTAAAGTTTTGTCGATTACAGGTCTGTATTCCAGCGAAACCTTAAACAGAGGAGTCAATGGTAAGTTGGGGCACAAAAATGTACAAACAGCACTATCATAATGATCTTTTGAAAAATTAACTATAAAAGTAGATTTGTACACAAATATGCAGGCACTTAAAAACAAAGGTATTCAGTGGAGTATTTTTTAACAACAAACTTGAAAATGATCTAAATGTACAGCAGGAGACTAGCCATGTAATTACGGTAAGTTTGTGTCTTAGAACATAGCAGATCAAATGACTACAAAATTCTTAATGCTTTACAAAAATGCTCAAAAAGTAGGTAGAACTCTGTATATGCTGTCATACTTTAAGTATCATTGCACTGTGTATTTACTTCCATTTTATTCTACTTGTAAGTGAATATATACACACATAAGGAAAAGACTACACATACATAAAATGAAGGAAATATTTCAAAAGGGCAATAAAGAATATTTCTAATTGGGGAGCTTATAAATGTTAATTTTCTTTATTCTTTTTGTACTTTCTATACTTTCTAACATGAGCATGTATTTCTTTTATAATCACCCAAAAACCCAAACAGCCCTGGCTGGTGTGGCCCAGTTGATTGAATGAGCACCATCACATACATGGAGAAGGTCACCGGTCGGATTCCCAGTCAGGGAACATGCCCAGGTTGTGGGTTCGGTCTCCGAGCAGTGTGCATATGGCAGGCAACAAACAGATGTTTCTCTCTCTCTCCCTCCTCCTTTCTCTCTCTCCCTTCTTCTCTCTAAAATCAATAAAAACATTAAAAAAACTCCAACATTACTAAAAATAGGGTTGCACTGAGAGGGGGAAGCCTGACTTCTTCCCATACAGTCAGAAAATAGCGTTCATGAAAAATTTGAAAATGACTAACTGCCCGGATTAAGTGGTCATAGTGGGCACTCTCTATATATGTAAATATTTAATCCTCACCCAAGGAAATGTTTATTGCTTTTACAGAGGAAGAGAGAAACAGGAGGGAGAGAAACACTGATCAATTAATTCCCTCCGTATGCACCCTGATTGAGGATCAAACCCGCAACCTAGGTATGTGCCCCGACCAGGAATCAAACCCGCAACCTTTTGGAGTACGGGACAACACTCCAACCAACTAAGCCACCAGCCAGGCGTAGGCACTCTATATTAAGAGATGACCAGAGAGCACAACTTAATTTCTGTAAACTCAGATAAAGGATCAAGACTATCCTTACAAGCTACGAAAAGCTTAGGGGTAAACACTTTGTATCCTAATTCTATCTTAACGCCTGGCAAAAATGCCCAATGGGTAAGACCAGAAGCCCCTACTGCAATCTCAGCTGACTATTCCTAGGACCTGCCCACCCCAACCCCTTTGCTTGCTCCCTGAACCCCCTGGACTTCCATGAGGCTGCTTCCAGGTGGTCTAGCCAATGGGAGGGGAAGGGAAGAGGGGTATTTTCCTATCTCAGCCCACTCACCATTTCAGACCTGGCCACCATGTCTTCGTGTGCTCACTCCCTGCCCAGCTCCAATGCTGTGGAAGGCCAGCCCTTCTGAACCACTCACCCATGCTGAATTCTGTTTCCAGGCAGATGCCTGACAGTGTCTTTTTCAGTGGTGTCTCAAATCTATGGCAGTCGATTTAAATCCACAGTGTATCTCCCAGTTCATTAAATGCCATGTGTCAGTGCACATATAAGCAAACCACATTCCCCACCTACCTTCCCAGTCTTGACATCAACATAGGAAAGGGTGTGCTTCCTCCAGTGCTGCTCAAATGGCTTCTTCTGCTGCCCTTGGATGGGTTTGGAATAATCATATTCATCAACCCGCTCCTGAGGCCAAGAAGTAAGTATATTTCAGAAAACATCAAATACAATTACATTCCAACTTTCTCATTACTCTAACAGAGCAATATAACCACAAAAATATGGCTAACAGATACATGATGTAGGAACCCCTACATCCCACTCAACAAGGAGGTCCCATGCAGACCTTGTTCAGAGAGCTGGGACCTCCCTAGGTCATTTTTCTAACCATTTCTGCCCCTCTACAATGAAAACCACTTGGGTACATCTCGTCAAAAAGAACACAGCATGTAACATGGTACAACTAAGTACCAGACGCAGAAGAATGGAGAAACAAGGCGTGCCAGCCATTTGCCAGCTGTCAGCCTCTAGTTATTGGTAAGCTCCTCACTCTCTACCAGCCAGCCAATCCCAGAACCCTATGCCTTTACTCATCCCATTTCCACCACAGCCCAAATCCTGAGGTGGTCAGGACCCCTGAGGTCAGACCACACAGCTGGGCAGTGGGTTTGCACTGGCAGGGAGGGTTCCAGAGTTAATGTGCTTTTATACACTTAAAGTCTATCAAATACTTTCTCTGTCTTTTTGCTCTCTACTCTGGGAGAGTTCACCTTCAGTCTTTTAATTTAAATGTTTTAATCTTAGCAAATCATATTAAAAATTTCAAAATCTTGTAAAGAGAAGCTGAATGCTTTTAAGGAGTAACTTGTACATGGTAATAGATAAGCCACACAAGAGCCTCTTCAAATAAAACACAAGAGATTCAAACACTTGTTATTTCTGCAGAGTGAGGCAAGTGTGGGGGTGGGCAGAAGCAAGACCTTTTACCTAGGGGCAAGAGAGCTCAGAACATTCTCTTCTAAAGTAAGAGACAAGGCACACTCTCCTGGGGTGAACAGGTTCTAAGTGCTATCTGACTGAATGAAATGAAGTCTTCATTGCAGCCACAAGAACTGCCAACCCACAACCTGGAGAAGCTTTCAGTCCTTCTGTACACATGATGAATGTGCTTACCAATCTCTTCCTTCACACCAAGTAAACAGCAAATCTAATCCAGCCCCAATCAGTGGAAAATCAATAAAATTTCACAGTAAATCAAGATCCTCTTCCTTAGCCAATCCCCAACTCACCCTGTTTGGTGGACAGGTAAGGCTGTCAGCAACCCAAACATTGTCCTAGACAAGAGTCTGTGTGCCTGTCTGGGGGGAGGTGGCTCAGATTGCTGATGTTCACCCTTAACTGGCATTTGCCCCAAGGTCCTCTGTCCACGAATTGTTTTTTTCTCATAAACTGAGTGTTCTTTTCTGGCAGAATATGACAAGTGTGCTCTGTATAAAAAGCAGCTCCTTTAAAAATATTGCGACCCCAAGACAAGGACTCATAATCACAGGCACAAAAACGATGATTTACTCATCATTTTAAATCACTAAAGTAGCGTTTTCTGGCAACAGTACTTGAGCTGCAAGCTAACCTTTGCCCTAGTGAGGAAAAGCGCATTCTGCTTAGAGATGCCACTGTTGGCAGCAGGAGATACTGATTCAAAGCCAGAAAAAAGTCCTGTGGTAGGAATACCATGAGAACACAGGTATAAAAGTTAATAGGAGCAAAGAAAAGCATGTTTTTCAATTTACTTCTCTCATTTTACTCAAAATGGGAGTAAAATGTAGAGAAATTGCAAGGTTAATTAGGAATGCCCATGGGGAAGACACATGGTGAACCCGAGTGTGTCATGAAAGCGCACCTTATAATCTTCCCGGGCATGAGCACCACGTGACTCCTTCCGGGCCTCTGCTCCATAAATGGTCTGAAGGGCACAGAGCATCAGGTTCTGCAGCTCCAAGGTCTCCACCAGGTCTGTGTTCCAGACCATTCCTGGGGACACACAAGGTACCCGTGAGAAACAAACAGGGTGGGGCTGTCATTGCTAAATGGGATATCCTGCACCCCAACTATGTGCAGGGGCCAGGGAACTGCTCACCTCTGTCAAACGTCTTCAGATGCTTTAGGTCTCCGTAGAGCTGGCTGATTTTCTCACAGCCCTCCTGTAAGACGCTGCCCACACGGAACACTGCAGCATGATTTTGCATTGACTATAAAACAAAATACCATTGGGAAACTTTTATCCATAGGAAGCCATGTCAAAAACTCCTAAATGTTCAGATTTTCCTCTTGTGCATTTCATTTTCTCTAAAATATTTACATAAATTAAATAGAAAAACTAGAAATTCAGGCTTTTATTACATTGAATTTTAAAATGAAGCTTTGTGAGATACTCTTAGCAACTTTCAAACATGCATTACAATATTAACTATAGTCACCATGCTGTACATTACACCCCCAGGACTTATTTTAAACTGGAAATTTGTATTTTTTGGCCCCTTTCACTCATTTTGTAACTCCTCACCTCTGGCAACCACCAATCTGTTCTCTGTACCTAAGAGCTTGGTTATGTGTGTTTTAAGGTTCCACATATGAGAGTATATGGTAATTGTCTTTCTCTGACTTACTTCACTTAGCATAACACCCTCCAGGTTCACCTATTTTGTTCCACATGGCAAGACTTCCTTCTTTTTTATGGCTGAATAACATTCCACTGTACATATGTGCCACATCTTTAAACATTCATCTGTCAATGTTTTCATGATTTGGCAACTGTAAATGCTTTCGTAGTGGACACAAGGAAGCATGTATCTTTTTGAATTAATGTTTTTCTTTGGATAAATACCTAGAAGTGGAACTGCTGAATCAATAGTAGTTCCATTTTGATTTTTTGAGGAACCTCCATGCTTTTTTTATAGTGGCTACACCAATTTACATTCCCACCAACAGTGTACATGGGTTCCCTTTCTTCACATCCTCGCCAACACTTATTTCTAATCTTTTTGATGACAGCCCTTCTGACAGGTGAGGTGATATCATATTGTAGTTTTGATATGCATTTCCCTGATGAATAATGTCGAGCATCTTTTCATGTACCTGTTGGCCATTTGTATGTCTTCTTTGCAAAAATGTTTATTAAGATCCTCTGCCCACTTTTAAATCAGATTTTTATTTTTTTGCTATTAAGTTCTATGAGTTCTTTATATATTTCATGTATTAGTCCCTTATTAGATATATGATTTGCAAATATTTTCTTCCATCCCATAGGTTGCCTTTTCATTTTGTTGATGGTTTCCTTTCCTGTGCAGAATCTTCTTAGTTTGATGTAGTCCTACTTGTTTATTTACCCTCTAGCTGCGTTTGCTTCTGCAAAAATCATCACCAAGATTGATGTCAAGGAGCTCACTCCTGTTTTCTTCTAGGAGCTTTATGGTTTTAAGTCTTTAATTCATTTTGAGTTAATTTTTGGGTACAGTGTAAGACAGTGATCCAGTTTCATTCTTCTGCTTGTGGCTGTCCAATTTTCCCAACACCATTTATTGAAGAGACTGTCCTTTCCCAATTGTATATTCTTGGCTCTTTAGCAATAAATTCATTAACCATATATACACGGATTTCTGATTTCTCTATTCTGTTCCACTGATCTATACATCTGTTTTTATTCCAATACCACACATACTGCTTTGATTACTACAGCTTTGTAATACAGTTTGAAATCAGAGTGTGATGCCTCCAGCTTTGTTCTTCCTTCTCACTATTACTGTGGCTATTTGGGATCTTTTGTGGTTCCACACAAATTTTAGGGTTATTTGTTTTAAGTGAAAAATGCCATTGGAATTTTGATAGGGATTGCACTGAATCTGTAGGTTACTTCGGGTAGTATGGGCATCTTAACAATATTAATTCTTACTATCCATGAGCACAGAATCTATTTGCCTTCTTCAATTCCTTTCATAAATATAGTTTTCAGTTTACAGGTTTTTCAAATCTTGGTTACATTTACTCCTATGTAGTTTGTTCTTTTTGATGTAAATTGGATTGTTTTCTTAATTTCTCTTTCTGAAAGCTCGTTATCAGTATATAGAAATGCAACAGATTTTGTGTGTTGATTTTGTATCCTACAACTTGAGTGAATTCATTTCTTGGTTCTAGCAGTTTTTTGGTGGACTCTGTAGGGTTCTCTACATACGGTTCTCATGTCGTCTGCAAATAGTGACAGCTTTACTTAATCTTTTCTAACTTAGATGCATTTTAGTTCTTTTTCTTGACTTAATGCTCTGGCTAGGACTGCCAATACTATGCTGAATAAAACTGGTGAGAGTAGGCATCCTTGTCTTGTTCATGGTCTTAGAGGAAAAGTTTTCAGCCTTTCACCGTTAAGTATAATATAAACAATGGGCTTGTCGTTTATGGCCTTTACTATGTTGAGGTATGTTCTTTCTATACCCACTTTATTGAGCATTTTTATCATTAATGGATGTTAAAATAAAGTTTTGATTAAAGCTTTTAATAAATGGTGGCGGAAGGGGTGTAAGCTCTCCATGCTCGAATAACTGAGGAGACAACAGCTACATGAGGGCTACAGGACACCTCCTCGCCCTACTCACAAGGCTTGATGTTAAGTTTTACAAGAGCCAGCAGACACCCTGTTGGTGACACAAACTAAGAAGTGCTGAGATAATGAGGTGGTGAGCAGTGGGTGCTGAGCTGGGAGGTCGTGAGGAGGCCTGGAAACCCTCACTGCTCACTCTGCTGGTTATTCAGTAGAAGATCCTCATATATTAAGTACTTTAGAGTTTTACTGCTTATAGTCCTAAGAAATGGGATATGAAATAAACTTGAAAGTTAGACATGAGAAGCAGAATCTACCTGTTTCCCATCATTTACTAAATGACTTTTCATCATTCTTGAAAAACCCCTTTATCATATGCTAAATCCCAGCATGTACTGAGAGGCCTATTTCTGGAATTGATTTTGTCCTACTGACCTAGATGTCTCTCGCTCTACCAATAACAAACTAATGTAGCTTTATAATTTAATTCTATTTAATAGGCATCTCACCTACTTCCTTAGAATGACGTATCACTGTAAGATTATAATGCATACCATCAATGTCATGGTTTTTCAGGAAGAGCAAATGGAAAAAAATTCTTAGAATCTAGTAAATATTAGTTAATACATTCATATTCTCAATAATCCTAGTTTTTCATACCCTTTTTACATTTGGTAAAAATGTTAGGTTTATTCAAGGCATTTTAAACATTTTTGGCTGTACTGCAAATGAGATACTAACTTTTGAATAGATTTTTGCTGGCATCTTGGAAAGTTACTAATTTTTGTATATGAATCTTTTATCCAGACACCTTACTTCATTCTTGCATTGTTTTTATTAGCTTTTCAGTTTATTCTCTTGGAATTCTTAGGTAATCATATCTGTAAGTAATGATAATTTTATCTATTTCTTTTTTATTTTTATTTTTAAATGTTTTTATTGATTTCAGAGAGAGGAAGGGAGAGATAGAAAGAAACATCAATGATGAGAATTATAAACTGGCTGTGTCCTACAACGCCTCCTACTGGGGATTGAGTCCACAACCCTGGCATGTGCCCTGACTGGGAACTGAACCATGATCTCCAGGTTCATGGGTCTGTGCTCAACCATTGGGACACACCGGCCAGACTTATCTATTTCTTTTCAATACTTACCTAATTTCTTTTGTTTCTTACTGTATATGCTGGAATCAGCAAAAAAATTACTCCCTCTCCATCACTCAAATGTAAATTCCACCAGGGCAGCAATTTTTGTGTTTTGTTCAATGCTGACTCTAACATCTAGAACACTGCCTGGCACATGGTAGATACCAGTACATGCCTTTTTTGGTGGGAGGCCTCTAGTGCTTCAAAGTCTCTCATGGATTTGCCATTTCTATTACCCAAATAACACAATGGTCACATCTGTCCTAGCTGAACCCCTACCCTTGAAATCAGCACCCTACAAAAGTCCTGCAGAACATCACTCAACTGGTTTTCCATAAACATACTTCTGTTCCTTCACTCATGCTATTTTCCTTACCAGTCCAGGAAGCCTCCCTGAAGTCCAGTCTCACCTGAAGACATGGCCGTATGAAACTTTTTTTCTTTTGGTGCTATCTGTGTGGATGTGCCACTGGACTCCTTTCAGAATATGACTAAAGCAAGGGGATTCTTTTCAGAAAATGTCTCCACACAGAAATTCTTGCAAATACTTTTAAGTGGACAGAGATCTCATTCATGCACCAAGAAGCCCTGTACTAAGAATCTGAGTGATTTCTAGCTGTTTTACATATTATTTTTATTGATCTAAACCTGTGTTATCCAATATAGTAGCCACTAACCGCATGTATCTATTTACATTAAAACTGAAATAAAGTTAAAATTCAGTTCCTTAGACTAGCTACATTTCACATGCTCCACAGTCACATGAGGTCAAAGATACAGAACATTTCCACCCTCACAGAATGTTCCACCAGACATGCTGACCTAGAACATAAATACTCTGACAGTAACCAATGCACAGATTACAGTTTCCACGCATGATCCATGCTCCTCTCTTCCTGATTTTATTTAAACGCATCAATGGCCCAATATAAAGATACTTCCCAGAGTTGCTGGAAGCTAGGTGTGATAATGAGACTACTTTCTCAGCAATGAGACGTGCTGGGCTTCAAAGAAGCCTGCTAAAAGTAAGCTTCCAGCTGGGAACTGAGTTCAGACTTTTCACTTTCCCTCCTCTTTCAGGCTGTGACATATACAGGATGGCTAGAGATGGTGTGAGGAAGGAAGCCCACATACAAGCATCCTGGAGCATATGAGAGAAGGCTGAGTCACTGATGCTGCGGAGTTGCTCTTGCTGCCCTTGGCTGCTACCCCCAGCCTTCTATGTGGAAAGACATGCACTTTTATCTTATTTGATTTCTTTTGTACTCCTACTTGACACAGGAAGAAATCTGTCCTTCTGCTGTTTACCTCAAACCCCAGTGCAGGGCTATCTGATGTAGCTGGTCTGCTCACTGCAGTGTGTGTACAGGTTCTTACCTTCTGCATGTTGAGTCGTAGTTCCGATGTTCTTATGCTTCCATCAGCAAATCTCAATTTGTCAAGATTCATGACAGATTCTTCCCCAGCATTTGCTTTAATGGGTGGAACTTTATCACCTATAAAAAAAAAGGCTATAATTTAACTTCTGAAAAACATTGAGAAAAACCAAATGAATTTAATCACACCAAGTGTGTATTATAACTTTTCAGGCACTTCAAAAAAACACACCTGTAATTCTACCTGAACCACCCTATACTCGAGGAACCATCTGTTGACTTGGGTTCAAAGAGTAAACCTAAAGACAAAATGTCTGGCAGAGTAGGTCTCCAATAAGTAATTTGTGAATAACAAAAGAGAAACCATCTTTTAAGTTTAAAACTTAGATTTATGCAAACAAGCCTTGCACCATTACTCTATAAAGAGGAAAAATGGCATCCTTCAGAACAGTGGTTCTTGGCGAATCTGCCAACCCTATTTCCCTCCACAGGCCTGGCCAGCTGTGTTTATGTCTCCTGCTGACCCTGACCCTTGTACCCACATACCTACCCCTCAAGGTTTGCTGTTCTCGACTTTGTAAACAGATAAACATTTTGAGGGTTTTTAAGTTTTTGGGATGACATTTTTAAATGTATCGGTTGCTGGAGGCAACCAATCAATTGATGTCTCTCTCTCTCTCATGTCGATGTTTCTCTCTCTCTCACTCCTTCTCCCCTTTCTACTCTCTCTGAAAAGCAATGAAAAAAAAATCCTCAGGTGAGAACTTAATAAAATAAAATAAAATAATAAAATAATAAAATAAAATATAAAATTAAATAAAATTTAAAAATAAAAAATTAAGTTAAAATAAAATAATTGAATTGAGTTAAATTTAAAAAGACCCCACTCACGCTGTGTCCAATATTAAGTCTGCCACCATGTAAACCTCTGAATTTGTTTCCTCACCTATAGGGAGAAAACCAGACCACCACTACATGATCACTAAACAAATCTCCAATTACAGACCTTGACTTTGTAACCTTTGCCCCCTGAAGGACCCTGGCTAGCTACTTGAAGAAAACATACCAGGTCTGCAGGACTCTGCGATACTCAGGGCACATGCCCGGCCAAAGACAACCAAGTCCAAGAGTGAGTTTGCCCCAAGACGGTTGGCACCATGCACCGAGGCACAGGCAGCCTCCCCACAGGCGTACAGGCCAGGCACGACCTGGTCCCGGCCATTCACATGCCTCAGTACCTTTGGGAAAGAGGAACAGAAACGTAAGAGCAGTCTGCACAGACCCTTCCCTACAAGGGGCAGCCATGACATAAGTCAGAGCAAGGACATGATCTTCTCTTGTCTGCAGGGAACCCTCTGGACCTATGCGCCCAGTCTCCTCCCTCTACCTCTGGATACTTGGTTACCCTATGCCAAGGTCAAAGGAACCCAAATGGCAGCGCCTGTGATGTCAATCCCATGGCTAATTCTCATCAGAAACCTCACCCACCCAGACTTGACCCTCTTTATTTCCCCCCTCCGCTTCTGGCTTGAGATGGAGGGAGCACGGCAGAGCTCAGGAGCATTAAACTATGAGGTAGAAGACTTGAATTGTCATTCAGATTCTTCCAACTTATTACTCGTCTGTGAAGTAAGAATACAATTCCTACCCAGCTCACCTCAGGAGGGACTAAAAGTAACTGATTGAAAAGCTCTTTGTGAACTGCGAACCACCCAAATATATTAATTGTCTAGAACACACAATTGACAAGATCACTACCTCCTGATACCTGGAGAAATAACATGAGAATGTACAGGAAAAATCTGCAAATGACGTCTATAACTATTTACTAAGAAGGGATTAATAAATTATTAAGGATTGATTGTTATTAAGGAGTGAATGCAAAAACTGGAATATAACTAAGGCCTTCCTCTGCCCTCCAGCTATAGCAATTTAAAGTGCAACCTATCAAACAAAAGGTACTTTTTTGAGGAAAACATCTGCCTTTTCCTCTAAGATCTAAAGGGACAACTGTGAGGTGGGCCCACTGTCCCCATTCTCTTTTCTGCTGTGTAGTCACCTGTCCCTTGTAGTTAGTGGGAATGCCACCCATGTTATAATGCACAGTGGGAAGAACAGGGATCGGCTCCTTGGTGACGTCCACACCCGCAAAGATCATGGCCGTCTCTGAAATGCCAGGCAGGCGCATGGCCAGCTGCTCCGGGGGCAGGTGGTGCAACTGCAGGTAGACGTGATCTTTCTCAGGGCCACAGCCTCTGGTAAAAAAGGGCAGGATAACATAAGGCAAAGAACAGTGATTATAGAAAACATGAGGTTACAAAATCATTGAAGCACATGAGACGCCTCACTTTTTGATACTGAATAAAACCTACCCATCTCTCCTTTTCTAAGCAACTACTATGTGCCAGGGTAGACTCTAGTAACACAGACAGCCATCATGGCCTCACTGGGCTCACAGTTTGCTATGCTTTCTTTGGTAAATGCATTAGAAAGTCCTTTTATGTCAAATACCCCAAAGAATCATTTGACTTCTCATTTTTTTATATAAAAATGTAAAACCTCCAACAGCCATACCAGCAAATATTTGACATATCACCACAATAAAGTGTCAGGCACTGAAGGGCCTAAAGATGCAAATAGCCCACATACCTTGAAGGTCCTAAAACATGAGTTAAAACACAATACAAGCCCGGCTGGCGTGGCTCAGTGATTGAGCATCGACACATGAACAAGGAGGTAACGCTTCAATTCCCAGTCAGGGCACATGCCGGTGTTGTGGGCTCGATCCCCAGTAGGGAGCATGCAGGAGGCAGCCAATCAATGACTCTCTCTCATCATTGATTTTTCTATTTCTCTCTCCCTCCCCCTTCCTCTCTCTGAAATAAATAAACAAATACATTAAAAAAACACACAAAAAAACATGCAACACACCACCAAAGGCTTCCACACTACTTGCAGGTTGGGCATGTTCCACTTCGCCGACACTGTCACTATCACATTCACATACAAAAAATGTTCCACAGATTTCAGAAAGATTTACCCTGAACTAGCTACACTTCTAGCCCTGGTCAGGTGGCTCAGCTGGTTGGAGTATTGTCCCATACACCAAAAAAGTTTCAGGTTCGATTCCCCCGTTGGGGCATGTTATGGCAGACAACAAATCAATGTTTCTCTCTCCCTCTAAAAAAAATCATCCTCAGGTGAAGATTTAAAAACAAACAAACCACAAAACTGGCTAAACTTCTTAAAATGTAACTCTCTATATAGACATACACTAACAGGCAACAGTCAGAAGTAGCAGAGGCAAAAGCCCATCTGCCAATTCAGAAGTGGGAGTGGGTACTGCAACTCACACAGAAGCCATACCAGCCCATGTTTAAAATGCAGACGTAAACAACAGTCACCAAAGAGAAAGGAGGCTCTGTGAGCATGCATATGCACTCAGGCACCTTTGGAGATCACACAGACCTTCCTTCACGGATTTCCAGAGTCATGGATCGGGACACGACGTCTCTGGAGGCTAGGTCCTTTGCTACCGGGGCATATCGCTCCATGAACCTCTCGCCTTGACTGTTAATGAGAATGCCTCCCTCTCCGCGGCACCCTTCTGTGATGAGACAACCAGCACCATATATGCCTGCAAAGAACCCAATTAATTAAATATTTATAACCTGAAAATGCTACGCCTATGCAAGTATTTTCTAAAAGACATTGGGGAGGGGAGGGCAAAGGGTATGCAAAGGACATTAAAGTCAACAAGACAGAAGAAAAGTTAAGAAATAGTAAATAGAAAGTTTTGATAATAAAAGGTACTGATAAAACTGCAGTGAGGAGGAAGGACAGCTGCAGTGGACAATGCTACAGCCTTGCCAAGTAATCTGACTTTAACTGCATTTTAACCCTTCAACACAACTAAGTATATGTTAAATATCTCTGGTTTTGCTTTAAGGAAGCATGAGAACAGAGCTCTAAATAAATCATAGAAGGAATTAAGAAGTCTGGTTAAAATTAGTAATTATAAAACTACCTATTACATTTTTTATTCTTCATCCCTGGCAGGGATCAGAAAGAACATACGGACAGAGCAAAGAGAAAACACAGGTCTAGCTCTTAGCATGGGGGCCACTGCCACCATGTGTGAAGTCTCATCTATTGACAGGTCAGAAAAGCAACCCACAAAGAAAGGTCAGGATGAGATTCATCTCCCAAGAGACAGATTCTCAGATTCATTTATGGATAACATCCCTGCAACTCTCTCAAATCTGCAACCCCAGCCTAGACCGCCCTCCTTTCGAATCCCACACTTGTACTGTCTGACGACCGAAGATGAGTTCATCTCCACCATGACAGGCACCCTCCCTCATTAGCACCTCACGGAGCCCTGCAGGTCAGAGCTTTATACTGACGTCACTGTTACTGTGGCAGCCCAATGTTCTTCCTACAAACTGAAATCTGCCTATGCCACTTTTCTGGTCACATGTATTCCACCTCACTTTCAGGATACTGACTTAGTAAATACTGACTGAGGTCCTACCAGGTAGGTGCCAGGCACTGAGAGCACAGCAGTAAATGAGACAGACCTGTCGCTACCTCCTGGAGCTGACAACCCAGTGGGAAAAGGGACAATGAACAATCACTGCTTTACAAGGGGGATAAGTACACCTGAGCAAGGTGTAGTTAAGAAAGGGCCTCCACTACCTTGCAGGAAAGCAGGGAAAGTCTCCTGAGGAAATGACAAGTTAGGACCTTGGAGATAAGAAAGTGGTAAGTCTGTATAGGAACCGCAGAAGAGCATTCCACAGGTACTAAGTGCTTAAAAGACACAAATAGCTTCAGTTCCATGAAGGTAGTCCCATCCTACCTGTGGGGTGGAACTGAACAAACTCCAAGTCCTGGCAGGGAAGGCCTGCCCTGGTGATCATTGCAGTGCCATCTCCGGTGCTGGTGTGGGCAGACGTGCAGCTGAAGTAGGTACGCCCATAGCCTCTGGAAAAGACAAGCCGGCACAGTGAGAGTGGTAACTACACACAGCACCAGATCAGAATCTCCTTTCTAATGGCACTGAGTGGACAGCAGCCCATGTAGACCACCACAGGTGCCCTCTGCATACACTACCCTGGGCAACTGGGAGGGGAGCCTGGGAAAGAGAAAGTAGTCTCATTTGTACTTTGGTACTTTTGTGCTGTTTGAGTGATTTCTCATATGATAAGGATATCTCACTTTTATAATAAAATTTTTAAATGTTTATAGATTCACCTTTTTAAAAGTTTAAAATAACAGACTGATGGTATAAAATGGAATTTACATCATATGAACAAACAGCACTTATCTACCTGAGAAATCAGTATAAAACAGTATCCATTAAAGCAAAAGAGACACTATTCCAGAAAGTGTCATGTGATTCTCTAGGCCTCAGTTTCTTCAAGTCTGCCCTGTGAACTGATGATAGGACACTTTCTCGCCCACTTCACAGGCAGGTGTTGTTATTGCCCCTGTGAGACAAGAGAAACTGAGGCTGGCAAAAGTGATTATCCTCACAGGCTAAGTGATGACCTATGTCTGAACCACATGTCCAAAATGCCTCTACTTCTATTAGGATAAAGAAAGCCTGAAACTCAACCTCCCCGTAGAGAAATGAAATACAATTAAAATTAGATTCCTACCCAGTAGCTATAACAGTGTTCTTTGCTCTTATGCGATGGATGGTCCCGTCTTCTATGCACAGTGCGATAACACCACGACACTCCCCATTTTCCATGAGGAGATCCAAAGCAAAATACTCTACAAAATAGCTGGTATCATATCGCAAAGACTAAAAAAAAAAAAAAAAAAAACCCACATTTAGGGTGTTAAACCAACATTTAAGGCAATGCTGTTCATATGAACAGGTTAAAAACCTTGATGTATAACAAATGAATAAATGCATCAGGTAAACCCTAGGAGAGTACCAGGCTGGAAACAAGTCACAGACGCCAACTCACACCAACACAGTGCTGATACTATCGTGAAACAGCACAAAAGGGGCTCTACTCCAGGCTGTATAAACAAAACATAAAAAGTTGCACATATGTCAATGCATGCCAGGAGGAAACTGACTCCAGGAGAGACTGGTAATGTGCTAACACATCCCTTATTTCTCCACATCCTAATAGGCATTCCAGGCTCTCTGGTACCGCACATAGCTTGACACCAGAGTTAGGGACCCACAGACCATAGGGTCTGGGCTTAGGCTGGGCTATACTATAAGGCAGCTGCTGGCCAAATACCACCACTTAGTCTAAATAAAACAAAACATTCAGTCCCTCAGCACACCAGCCATATTTGTGACGGTCACATGTGGCTGGAAGTTGCTAGATTGGACAGCCCAGATAAGCGTATTCCTATGGCAGCAGAAGGTTCAATACTGGACAACGATGGCCCAAACCCTGGATCTGACAGTCCCCTCGGCAAACGGAAGGGTCTTTCATGAAACTGTCAGCTTCCCAGATGACACACAATTCCACGGGATGAGCAAGTCCTGTTACATATTAGTCAGAGAAAGCACTGGTATTCTAACACTTGCAAATCAATGGCCTGTCCCATTTGTAAACAAGAGTTCAGAATACTGATTATTCTGAATCAATATCATTCAGAATATTGATTATCTGGCTATAAGAAAGTTGGCCCTGATTATCCAGTGACTACTAGCCCTCAATTCTTAGTCCAGTTTTAACAGTAAGTATTAAATCAATCAGCTCATGAACTCAAGGGTGGTGAAAGGGCCTTAAAATATGTGCTCTGCTCTTATACTTTCAGTGTGACAGGATTACAAATTCAAACCTGGTATGTAATGATTACCAATTTAGTTTTCTAAAATAAATACTTTCCAATCAACAATTTCTATACAAGGCCTACCAAGGTATTCTGTTGTTTAAGACACTCCTTAGGCTGACATTCTGACACTCTGGCGCATCTCCAGGGTGGCCTGTCTCCGGTTCATCTGCTTGGCCAGAATGGACCATGTCCCATCACCCTAGGCACCCAGGCCAGCCTCACCCTTCCATACAACGTGTGCAGCAGTGAGTGGCCAGTGCGGTCAGCCACACAGCAGCACCGATGGGCCTGCCCGCCTTTCCCAAACTTGAGGCTCTGTCCGCCAAAGGCCCGCTGGTAGATCTTCCCATCCTCAGTTCTGCTAAATGGCATGCCGTAATTCTCTAGCTGTGAAACAAAAACAAACACCTAGTACTTCAAAGGAATCAAGACACTCATGGCTAACTTACTGTGAGCAACTTCAACCTAAATCTGCAAACCCAACATGAATACATTCTATGAAAACGTCAACATTTCTGAAAAGAGAAAAATTTCCTTTAATGAATTGAATGGTTAATAGCAGAAAAGATTTCCCTTGTTACACTGGCTTGTCACCATCCTTTTCAGCTGACCACACTTGCCTCAATCCCACTAGAAACAGACTGTGAGGACCTTACCTCAACCACAGAGGCGGGGGCCTGCTCTGTCATGTAGTGGATGGCGTCCTGGTCCCCCAGCCAGTCAGAGCCCTTCACGGTGTCATAGAAGTGCCACCTCCAATTGTCCTCCTCCATGTTCCCCAGAGCAGCATTGATTCCTCCCTGAAAACACAAAGCAACCTTAGGAGCTACAAATGGGAGCCCCACAGCATCTTTCAGGCTCATCTCTCCAGGGCCCTTCCTTGGGAACTGGATTTGGAGGGAGCCCCAAGTACTTGTGAGGTAACTATCTGTGAGGGATCTGACTAAAGACCAGTTCTAGGACCTTCCTTAGCAGAGAGAGGCAGCATTGCATGACAGATTCCAAATCACACCTCCTCCCCTTAACAAGCTAATGATGTGGGCCAAGTTACTGCATCCCTCAGCCTTAGTCTCTGTATCTGTGAAGGAGACATGAAGTTAAACTCCTTGAAGAGTTGTCTGGAGAACTAAGCAAGAGGTTACATGTGCAATGCTTCTTACCAAAACTGGCACATAAAAGGTATTCAAAAAATCTGGATAATTTTATGACAAAATGTTTCTAATGATATTTTATGGGTATATGTTAAAAACAAGAAGTACTTACTGCCAAGTAATAAACTCCAAACTCAGAGTCACACTCCCCATACCCCCACTTCCTTTTGCTGGGCACAGTCACCCCATCCCTGCCTTATCCCCACTGTCTCTGCCCCTTCAGAGGCACAGAAAATGCAGCACAGGGACAAATGTTAAGGCTCGCCCTTTTCCCCCACAGCTTAAAATCAGATTCCTCTTCTTCAGGTAATCTTTTTTCCATAAGTAAAGGCACATTTTATAACTTACATTTTTTTTCCAATTGTTCTTCAATCACAACTTTTGAATCAAGCACACCCACATTGGAATTCCTTCCCCACTTAGTGCCACCGTGCCTCAGTTTCCCAAGTTATGTGTAAGGACAAAAATGAGTTCCTGGCAGACAGTGAGGAACCTGTTGCTTCCTTCTTCCCTTCTCTAACCCCTCAACCTGTAAACCCAAATGCAACCCTGATAGAATGGTATAGAGTAGTAGCACAATATAGAAAGCTGGTTTAAAATACAAAACTACTTGGCCCGGTGCATGCATAAATGCTATTTATCTTATTGCTGCTTTTAGTAAGAATCAGAGACATAGATGCCTGGTCTTCTGGGCATTCCTTAGAAGTACTCTCCAGACTTTCCCAGGACCTGACCTGTCTCATCCTTCCAATTAAACCTCTTTTTTTGAGAACCAACATTCAAGTTAAGCTACCCTTTCCTTATTCTTTTTATCTTATTAATACTGCACTACCTGAACACTTTTATTTTGCAACATTATTTAGAATTATCTGTTTGTATTTTTCCTTTTAGACAACAAATTCTCCAAAGGTATGTATTATTTATTCTTTAGTTTACAAAACACAGCTCAGAACAAAGTATCTGGACAGCTAAGTGTCTGAAGAATGCTGCTGGACACTGACTACAGGTTGCTCCAGATTAGGGAGGCTGTTATGGTCCCTGGAAAGGCACCACATGCTCTGCTGTCTCTATTAGAAAGGACAAATAGGACTTTGGAATACTGCCTGTGTGCAAGCGGACACACCTAGTGTGCCAAGGACGAGAGAACAAAACTATGAAACCACCAGGTAATCTCCCCTTACTTTTGTCCTCCCCCTCAGTTCAGAGCCACCATTTCACTGTCCTGCACACTCATGCCAGTGTCAAAGCCCATCACCACCACCCCTAATGAGGATGCAGCAGGAACCACGAGATCCAGAGCAGACAGTAAACAAGCCCAGAGACAAGCTCATTTCAGACTGGCAAGTGCAATAAAGAAAGTTTAACCAAGAAGAGGGGAGGGGGCTGGGTGGAGTGGTCAGAGAAGACCCAAATGTCAGTAGAGCAGAAACTGAGGTGACAAAAAGGCTCCAGGCAATGAGTGATCCCTAAGGGAGATCCCTAAGGGAGTGAGCAGAGTGGGTGAAAGAGCATGGTGGGAAGGCGGACTGTAGCAGGAGGTTGTTCTGGCAGAGGCTAGATTGCACAGTGCCTTGCAGGTGCCAAAAGCACTGAGAGCCCCTTTCTCTTACCTGGGCTGCCACAGTGTGGGATCTGGTGGGAAAGAGCTTTGTAACACAGGCTGTGTTAAACCCTGCCTCAGAAAGGCCAAATGCAGCTCGCAAGCCTGCCCCTCCAGCGCCGACCACCACTGCGTCAAATTCATGATCCACTACTGGGTATTGCGTAGAAATCTGGAAAAGAAAATTTCACCTGTCAGCCATCCATTCAACTATGTCAAACACTGAGACTGTAGCTACAGTGAAAGCTTAAAGGGAATGAAAGAAGAAACACAAAGAGCAAGTGCCCAGAGAGCCTCCACCATGCGTGAGGCTGGATATCAACAACTCATAGTTCTGAGATGTGGCAGGCACTTCAGTGAAAGGGAACAGCTCTACTCATGCCAGCTCTACACTAAACAATAATCTGGGCATGCAATGGAATGAGAATTTTTTCCTTTAAATAAAACCTGGGTATTACTCAAAAATATTAAAAATTGGTATAGATCATTACCGCTATAAGCCAAGAAAATAATTTATAATGGAACAAAAAGCCATGAACTTACTGAATCTGAAACTTTAGCAGATGACCTCTTATTCCCATCAACAGTGAAGTGAAAACCACGGGATCCTGTCTGCAATGCTGCCGGCCGCTGATGAGAGAGATGGAGAGCACTAAGTGTCTTGAAGAAACAGGGGACTTGTAATTAAAATTTCCTCTACTAAGTTGCCAACCTATTTATATATTCAGGTGCTCCCTGCTTTACCTAGAAACTTTACCTGGAAGCCTGCTTGTACTGAACTCTGAAGGACAGAGCAGGGGCTAAGGATCCAGACAAGCCCAAAGGGGACTTGGCACTCTAGGAAAAGCCCTTCTAGATAAAGCTGGGATCCAAACAAGATACTTACCAACTCAGATAGGAAATAAAAAAGGTATACTTTCACATTAATTTCTTAATTTATGTTACTTAAATGGATAAGGGAAAGACATCTACATTGTATGAGTGGTAGTTTTGCAAATAAGGAAGCACTTTTACTGAATCCATCATAACCTCTTCACACTGGAGCTACACCCATCTGTGAGGTTTTGTGATTCACTGGGAAGGCACGAGACATTGTAGCAGGAGATCAATGCTCTAGGGCAGGCTCTACTGCTTGTTGTGACACTTAGGCACCAGTGATGTTATCCCTTCACTGTACACGAGGATTCCAGGCCGAGATGCTAACAGTCCTGCTTCGCCATCCTCCATCCACATCTTCACTAGGCTTCAGCCATACCACCTTCTCACCTGTCTACACCACAGTGCCATTCCCTCTGCCTGGACACTTGTCCCTGGCCTTTCCCTAGGGAAACTCTACAATTCTCTAAGACTCGGCTTAAAGGTCCTATCCTATAAACATTTACCCAAGAATTATGTATTAACGAAATCACAGCCCAGCATGGGGCAATATTCTTCACATACTAAGAATGGTGAGCAACTTAGGGGATATGATTTTCCATTCTGCTGACTGCATTTTAGTAGACTATTGATAAAACAATAAGCCTTAGAAATACCATAAAGAACAGGTTTAGGAAATAAGCACATACAACAATGACAAAAGGGGATATGAGAGATGCCTTCAAGTATTCTGCAATTTGGAAGATGTTATTTACTCTGTGGGTTAAAAAAATTATTCTGGAGGCCAAAAAGTGGAGATTACAGGGAAGAGAATTTGGCAAGATACAAAATGAACTCTCACTGAGCTGTTGTAAACTAAATGGACTTCGCTGTAAGATGAAAGGACTCCAGAAAGGGCTGGATGACTTGACCACCTGTGAGGAAAACTCAGAGGTGGCTCCTACCTTTAAAGCGCCCTCTAACTCTAAGACTGAATGATGACTGGCACAAATATTTGAGTTTATTTTAATAACTCCAATTACAAAGTAGTTTCTTGGATTTTTAAAGCTGAACTGATAAGGGAAATATTCTTAAATTCTCCAATTTATTTTTAAGTACATTTGTTCTTATTGACATGAGGCAATTCAGTTTTTTCTTTCAGAAAATGAATTAAAAAGAACTAAAAACAACAAATATTCGTCTGCTTCAATTTAATTTTTTAAATGGCAAAATCATATTTTAACATAGAAGTCATCGAAAGACTTAATACAAACATTATTGAAAACTGTATAGAGTACAATATAAGTATAGGTAATAGTACCAATAAGAACAGTACACTTTGTAATACCAAATTAAAATAGGACAGTGAGATTCTGTAAGTATTTATTTCTTGTTTGGATGTTCAATAAAGATATACACACACTTAAATGGGGCAGCTTCTGTAATAAAATCTTTAACAAAGGACACTGTCTCCCTGTGGAAAAATAGTAACACCAACTTTTGTATCTGATGGGGGCACGGGGAGCAACTGTAGAGTCTGGAGAGTCCAATTGTAACCCAATTTCTGTCTCTAGATAAAACTAATTTTATGTCACTTACTAATCTAATGTGTTTTTTTAAGAGAAATCATAAAACATTTTCTAACAGGGCAACATGAAGAATGGGAAATCTACCTAAGGTACAACTAAAAGGAACACTCATAGACCTTTTACTAATAGTACAGGTGACTGAATTAGGAGGTAAAAGGGAAGAAGGGTAGAGATACTGATGTCATCAATCTAGCAAAGAGGGGAGTCCTCATCTAATAGACTATACCTATGAATCATGAACAAGAAACTCAATTGTTAGTATAATCTATACAATTACAAAAGTAGCCAACAGAGGATCTGAAAGTGATTGTATAACTATATTGGGAGGACTGAGAAAGTGGGAAGTAAGATGGTTTAAGTAAACTAAACCCTTATTTACCAGCAAAAGTCCATGTCTAAAATGGATAAAAATGCAACTGCATATGAGCTAGAGAAACGGAGGTAAATATGAAGGATCAATACCAGAAACAATTTGGAACTGATTCCATTGGGGAACAAGTCTGGGGGGAAAAAAGGGGTCTTATTCCTTTTCATTTATAAGGCCTTCTGCACTCATTGACTTTTCCTTTTTTACAACTATGTATAATTATTTTCATTAAAAATTTAAAGACTTTGCCTGGCTGGTGTGGCTCAGTGGATGAGCATCGGCCTATGATCCAGGAGATGGAGGTTCGATTCCCAGTCAGGGCACATGTCGGGGTTGCAGGCTCAATCCCCAGTGGGGGGCGCACAGAAGGCAGCTGATCAATGACTCTCTCATCACTGATGTTTCTATCTTTCTCTCTCTCCCTCTCCCTTCCTTACTCTGTAATCGATAGATATATTTAAAAAAATAAAAATTTAAGATTTTAAAAACAGGGATGCTTAAAATATAGCTGACAAGATAATAATACAGTTCACAAGGTTACTGAGCACAGGCTGCAAGCTGTGGGCCCCGGCTCAGATGAGCATACACAAAGATTTCACATATCATATCACAGAATCCTCATTAACCCCAAGAGAAACTGAGTCTATCCAGGGTACCTGAGATTTGGACTTGGGTCTGTCTTGCTAGCTCCAGATCCTGCACTTTCCCTACTATCTAAAGACCCTTGGGGAAAAAAATCTCTCGAACTCCAAATTAAGATGAATATCCAGGTAATGGTATCAATACCAAACCACAATTATTCAAGTGAACCACGAAAAACATCACACATGATACAAAACTCTATACGACTGACACTCTTATTACACCAAGAAGCAAAAAATGTAATTCTAGATACACCATTAAAACATATTCAGAATAATACGTACAAAGAAAAGAGATTAACTTAGATAGGACAAGGGTCTCAAGGTCTGGCAGTTCTAAACATAATTTCTTGCTAAACATTAAAATAAAGCACAGTATTTTGCAGATGCAGCAGTAAACAGGATGAGCCGACAAGAACTCAACCAATGGATAAATGCAGCAACTTTGGAGAGACAGAGCTTTAGATACAAATCTGAATCCATCTCCTTTATACTTGCTGCAAGTAAATAAAACTACATTGCCACAGCCATGTTCCATGTCTGGTTTTTAAGAGCATCCCAAGTGCAAACCTCTTAAGTTCCTCTTGAGTTCAGTAACAAATTCATCTGAAGTGAGCAGTTAACCAACAGTTATTTAAGTCCTCAATTTTACTTTTCCTTTCCATTAAACTACTTTGGAACAGTTGCAAACTGTCAGTACATTAGGACAGTTGGAAAGGAAATAAAAGGCAAAATAGTTTTGATGATTTTGTAACTTAAAAGCATTTTTAAATGACTTGGAAACCCCACAGAATTGTACAAAATGAGATAAAGAAAAAGTCTCTGTGGACTTTATCTAAATTCTCTCATCATCTACTTTCTGTGGACATTTCTCAGTTGGCATCATAAATTTCTCTATTTGTGCTGTCAAACTGACACTATTGTTCTCGCCAATCTTAATCTCCAATAAATATACTGCTTGAGGGAAGAATTAATTTCCATAGGAAAACCTATCTTCATCAAGATAAAAAGACTTAAAAAGCCCAAGACCATCTTTTGTAGGCCTACCTTGTTCAATTTTACTCTCTATCTTGCCACCATGTTTACAACTACTTAAACACAGGACACTGATGAAGATTCAAGGAGAAAATGAAGGTAAAGCGCTGGCAGCTAAAAGCTGACTTCAACGCAGATCACTTCCAATCAAGTCAATATCAAAGATTTACACACTCTGACCTCTAGCGCTTAGAACCTCACTCTCACTTTCAGCTATAAACTGGAGCCAGAATTGTAGTCCAGCCTAGATAAAGAACAACTTTGGTTTTCATAACTTGACAAAGGGTGGGTGGTGGGTGAAGGGAGTTCCACAGGCTGGGGGGGGGAGGGGGCTTAGTCTGCACAAGGAATGCTTGGGCACCAGTCCGGGTTGAGGACAGACACATTAGCCCTTTTCCAATCACCACCAGTTACCAATCTGTCATTTCACCTAACAAGTAGGAAGCACTCAGAAGCCTGCTCCTTTGTTTAACTGAAAATACCCCACTAACCTCGACCTTCACGTGGACTCCCTACCTAATTGTGTCTTAGAGCCCAAAATGGGGTGGTCAGTAAGAATCTCACAGCATTTAAAATGCTTTCTGGTGTTGGCAGGATGGGATGCCTGACTAAGCCCCCTCACATTTAACGTAAATTTTAATGCCTTGGTTCCAACTGGAACTTTTACGCGGTAATTAAATTACTACGTAGGTGGGTGAACAGGTTCGTTTAAAAGAACCCAATATCTAAATCCTCCAAATTTAGTGTGCTTACAGAAACCATAAAAGACCAATTCTGAAGATGTAAAGAGTACGTTTGACAAACCCAGCACGAAGGCTGAGGCAAGCATACTTCTGCCGGTCATCCTAACAGACCCGAGCAGGCGGAGACACCTCCTCCACGGACCTCGACCTCCACAGATAGTGCCGGAAAACAAACGACCCGACGTCCCCTCCCAAATGTGGTTTTGCAGTCGGCGTCTTGACATTCTTCGTCTGATTTTTAAAAGTGTGCACAAACACCACGATACAAAACCCAAAACGAAGGGCCTAAACTTACTTGCCAGGCCCCGGTGTGGACACACAGCCCCGGTGTGGACACACAACCTACGAGTTCTCGAAAGGGGGCCCCGTTTTGCAAACAGTTGTAAGGCAAGCCGAGGTGAGGCTGTTAGACACTCGTTCCACCTCACCCCGCCTTGGGCGGCAAGGACGGAGCCGGGACTGAGCCCACGGGCTCGAACCCCGCCCTGCCACCGGCCACCCGGGGCCTCGGGGCCCCATCTCCCCACCCAGAAGCTGAGGGGATCAGACGGGACGGTCCCGTAGGCTATACGCAGAGCGCCCAGCCGTGCCGGCGCCAGCAGCCAAGGTCCCGGCTCCACGAACGTTCTGGAATTCCGAGGCCCGGGGCATCCCCAGGCCGCTACCCGCCGACATGACCTTGGGCAGGCAAGCTTCCCCTTCGCATTCACATGCCCGCTGCGGAGGCCAGGCGACCCTGGCCCAAGGGGCATCCGCACCCTGGGGATCCCGAAGAGGCTCGCGGGATCGTGACCTTCACCCGGACGCGGCCCGCCCGGCTTCGAAGAAAGTCCAGTGGCCCCCCCAGACGGAGCCTGACTCTGTCGGCGGCCCCGTGGGTCCTCCCGCTCCGGCTCGCAGGCGGCTCCCAGCCCGTCCAGATCAGAGACCAGGGAGCTGGGTCCTGGCGTCTACTCCGCCCCGGAGAGCGGGGACCATCCGCCTAGACCTCGCCCCC